GCTTGAATTTTGAAGAAGATTTAATTCTCCCCTTCTTTTGAATGTGGAGCTACACTGACTTGGTCCTGGTGCTTTTCCCGATGTTGATCGAGAAAGCTACTTAGGATTTCCAGTCTACTTTCTCCTTGTCAGCGGTGGAAGACAAGGAGGAGGAGGCATAGCAGGTAAAAATGTCTAGTCATTCGGATGATACAAGAAACAGAGGTTCTATGTATACTATTGGCATTAGCCTGGTTCGTGCAGAAAAGTAAGACAGACCCCATTTAATTTCCTGTTGTATAAAGTGTATGACCACATATGAACTTAAGTAGTAGTCCAAGATTTCACAGGCATCATAAAAACAAATGGTCTTAAATGTTAATCAAATACCAAAATGTGATAATATGTGATGGAATTTGTGGGACTATCATACAGATTTTCAGGAATTAGCCAGAGTTTTGTTTACTATCTCTCACATATCTTAGAAATCATGTGCTCTTGTGATGTAAAGACCTTTGATATGATGCAATTAAGTACATCCACCCACATAACCTCGATCATCATTACTAAAGTCGGTACAATAAAAAACATAGTCTTGATTATTCATTTCATGATTAAATCATGAATGAAAGTTGAGGAGCAAATCATATCCTAATCCAGTAAATATCGCAGGCTAGCGATGACATCGAGAGTTGATTATGGTCTGGATAAGTTAATTAATGTCTAATTAATAATTTAGATAACATTTCAGGCCTAAAGAAAGACCTGCAATAGGCAGATTTAGCTCTTGCATAATGTATGTTAAGACAAATACCTGAAAGAGATAAAGATATCAATGTGAAATCAATGTATGCCTAACTTAAGTTTAAATGAGTGACTGGATTAATTTTTGAACCAAAATGTTTTTTTAAAATAAAGGCATTTTTTATTAGGCATAGTTTTAAATTATATAATCTTACATGTAGTGGGTTTAAGGAAGAAACCAAGACTTACGTCCATACCAACAGAAAATATTTTACTTCTGTTTATATCTAAATAGATGCCATTCTGTTATACAGAACATGTGCTCTAAAATCAGAAAACCAGACTTAATACCTTAGAGCCTTGCCTAAAGTAATGAATTTTTAATAAGGTTAGGTAACCTTAAAGAAATAGATTATTGTAGCGCTACAGGAAATTGACATATTCTGTTGTGTAAATGTGGAGCTAATTTTATCTCAGTCGGGAACAACATTTCAGATTGTGAAATAAAATTGATTTTTAGTATGCTTTGATCTTTATAGCATACACTGATATTTCCGCTAGGGAAAACAGAATTTAATGGAACTGTTTACAATTGAAAAACATTGCATAAAATCAAGAAAACTTGAACGAGCATCAGAAATATCTCAGATTGTTTATTAAATTAAGGTGCCAGAAAAAGGTAATGTCTAGAAGTACTTTGCCTTGTGAAAATGTGTTAAGAAATAACTTGTGAATTCAAATAGTTTCAACATAATTCATCAGATTTTTATTGAGCTTTAAGTCCCCGGATATGGATGAATTTGGACACAATTTGTGAATTCAATATCTGCGTTTTTACCCTTGATTTACTCAAAATATGTCAAAAATAGTTTGTGAACAGGAATGAGTCTACATTATTTGTCTGATTTTCAAGTGATATTCAAATAGTTGCTTTCACAGTTTTTGACACCTTCCATTTCCAAGACATCAAGCAGGTGTCAATTCTGTCTTTGTTAAGCTATATCCCTAATATTAATTAATTGACAACAGATACAATCCGAATCCGACTTGAACTATAACAATACTGACTTGACTAGTGAAATGATAGCATGATGATAATTATATAAGATGATATTTACACTAATTAATAAGACAATTTCCTTGGAAACTTAGACCCAGATTAAATACATTAATTATATGACAGATTGACCTTTAGAATCAGATACAAAATTCTGGTTATTCTGTTATCATGTATTAGACAAAAAGTACACAGTATTCCACACAGAATTTTGTTATGAATGTTGAGCAATTACTTTGTGTGGCATTATTTTATAAGCTGTCAAGAAAATTTTGTCAGAATTATTTTCCCAATTATCTGGTGGTTCTGAGAGAATTATTCCTGGTATGTTTTAAATATATACTGAGACATAATGAAAACACAAATGGATAATGGTAAATCTTGTTTGAGATAGGGTAATGTCGTATAAAGCACCTACATGGGGTTAAGGACCCACCATGAAAATCTCGGATATGATTGGCAGTATAGTGACACGTTATGACACAATAGGGTTTTAATGTCGGCTTGTGTCCTCCAAAATATTGTAGTTGTAGACAAAACTCCTGATGAACTTTCTCGGCCAACACCGGGCATGAACCCGCGACCCCCAGCCTAGTGAGCCAGAGTCTTACCCACTTAGCCACTGTGACTCCCTTTAAAAAGCTAGAGTGAGTTCAACTTGTAAAATGTTCTGTGGAAGATGCAACAGTATGTGTGACAAAGTACTCTATAACTTTCATCAAATTGAACGATCATTTAGATGCTTAGAACTTTATGACCTCTGCTTGTTTTTTGATATTATATGATATTGACTTTTCAACTCTGTATAAACTTCTGTTAAGGCACGGACTGGCTATGATCTAATTAAACATGTAATTTATCCCATATGTCATTTACAAACTACATGTGATCTGTGTACAAGCTCCACATGACTTCAAAGGAATATGCACTGGTCAGTAAGCATGCCATGACGAGATAAAAGGGACAATTGCATGTATGACCATGTGTCTTATCTATTCTCCGGCAGTGTATAATCAGGAGTTTATTGACAGTTAGGCAGATTGACAGAGAAGAGCAGACGACCAAACACGACTAGAGACGAGCAGAGACAGAGAGACCGGCATATGGACTCACCCGAGTTCAGCCACTGCCTTGGCAGAGGGGCAGAATGGTGGATTTAATATAGTTATATGTGTTCCTGTCGTAGTCTAGTTCTGATGTAGTTTAGTTCATGTTGTATGTATGTAACAGTTGTTTTATATACCTGCTGTAAATAAATCATATATTTACTAAACTGATCTCTATTATCACTACGATAGTGTTACATATGCCAAGTTTGACATCGGAACACAAAGAAGGTGCCATCTAATGCATTTTAGGTTCTAATGATCTACGTTGCATGGATCAGTGTGAATAGTATATCAATATCCGGGCCCCGAGTTCACAATGAATTCTCAGACTTAAGAATTTACTCAACTTCCAATCACTGTTTATGAGACATATCTTTGATCCAGAAGCACAAAACTTTGCACATAGTTTCTTATTCATGTATTTGATACATTAAAACAACAAAAGTTTTATAAAGGGCTATATTTTAGTTCAAATAAGGTGAACAATTTTGAGTAAATTCTTAACTTAAATCTGAGAATGCTTTGTGAATTCGGGGCCTGGTCTCGTTTTATAACCAAGGCTGTTTCTGCGTTATTGTGTAGACGTAGAGTAAAACCAGACGTACTTTACAATGTAATGGAACGTTTAACGATTGCTCAATCATCTTATATAATAGGTTGTGTTACGTGGAATAATGAACTAACAGGATTATATGATGATTAATGAGATATATTATGTTGGAGGAGAACCAGATAATAAATAGCTCATAGCAGACTATCGATTATAGTATCGCTACTTATATAGAGTGGTGGGATGGCCGTTAATGAAACTCAGATCGTTATGCTGAAGTTTTATTGCTAGAAACGAGTCATTCATTATCACTGTTGAAGAACGCTCAGTACACACTCATTTGTAATTGTCCAGAAAAACTCTTTTTTTTTATAGATAAGCCAAGTATTTGTTATGACTAATCAATACAGAATTTTTAAACAAAGGCAAAAGATAGAGATAGGGTATTTTAGATTGGAAAATTATGGGCACACAATTGTAGAGGCTTTTAGGTGTAAAAGTAGTTATTCGTCACATGGGAACAGGTCATAAATAACGGGTTATAGTAATTAAATACTATCAAAGAAAACGATAACGCTCATTAATTATATGCTAAAATGAAAAAGTTATAGTAATGATTACATTCAAACAGTAATGGTAATGTAATAAAGAGTCATTCCACAAGAAAACCATGCAATATCATGCATTAGGTTTGAAGGTGGGGATAGGCTGATTGAGTTCATATTCATAAGGTTTGGTCGACTTATTGAGTCTACTCCCCAGCCAAAATTAACCGTTTCTGAGATAAAGCCTGATTACGTTTTTGGGCTGAAATTTGTTTGAGAAATACATGGTCTCTACCGTCATTTTGGCATATATCTGTGGTCACTTTGACAAAAACACAGAAACAGGGATTTTACACAAAAACCTATTACTATTTTACGTAGCTGGGGAGGTGTTTGAACTGAAGTTTTTGGTAACTTTCGACACAAATTGTTATCCTGTTGCAGGTTAGCTGACGATTTTATTTTTTATGTTGTTTAAACTGGTCAAGCTGCAAATAAAATGATTTTCATTTTTATCGCAAACCCTGCTCCAGTGGAGTTATCGCATTTGAAAAAGGGTACAATTCAGGATTCCTGCAGATAGTATCTTGTGTAGTCTCTTGACACCTACGGGAAGAGAGATTGCACTGGGTGACCTTTATAATATGGTAGGTTGCATTGAGACCCCGACTATCATCACCAACCAAAAACTAGTTCGCCATTAACGGCTGTAGAAATGTGACAAAAATGGTCAAAATTTGACCTGATAATGACGAAAATCGGCCGAAAAACGTAATCGGACTGTATCTCAGAAACTGTTGATTTCTAAAATCGACGATTTCGGCTGGGAATCGACTCAGTGGGTCGACCCAACCCTGTGAATATGAACTCACTCGGCCGCCCCCCACCTTTGAACCTTTTGCATGGTTTTCTCATGGAATGGCTCTTAATGACATTTAAAAGATTTAATATTTGTGGACATATATATATCTGTACCCATTAACCTAGACATATTGCTTGTCCTTTTCTATTTTCAGGTTTGGAAACGATCTGGTGCCTGGTTTTTTAAAGCCATTCCACGCTATGTTATCCCCGAGAAAAAAACAGACTGTGCCAAATACCAAGCTAGGGGTCGAATACAGACACAGGGGTCACGGAGGGTAAGACCAGGTGGACCATCACCAGCCTGGCATCGGGGAAGGGGGAGTACCAGTACAGGTACAGGTGGTTACAATTTATTATTCAACAATTTAAATTCATCACCTTATTCAGCTTGATTGAAATAAGTGTAAGCTGAAGTGCCACTGTCTGGGCAAATTGTCCCTCATACATGTAGCATACTGTATGGTATGAGCCCATTTTGTTTCATTTCAGTTTATTCAACAGATTAAGGAAAAAATGTGTCACACTATTATTAATCATATTATTTGAAATGAGATTAAAAAAATAGATCATTATATTATAAAAAATAAAGTGCTTGGGGAAAAGAAATGTATTATGATTTGCTGATGTTTACATAGATTGTGAAATGCCATGCTGTAATGTAATTTATTATTCTGTTTTCTAGCCAGCTATGGTGAAAGCAGTGAACAAGACTCCTCCAGTAGCTCCGAAGATGAAGTTAATTTTAACTCTAAACATAAAAACAAACGTGGTGCTGAATCAGGTGGGTGCATATAAATGAGTTTTAGAAAAAAATTAAATTAATTATCAAGGAAAAATATTGTGCTGTGCTGGAAACCAATCAACTGCTTTTTATAATCAACTCGTTTATCAGAAAATCAGATATTTCAAAAAAGATAGCCATCTTATATTTGAATAGAATAAAGCAAACCAAAAGGTCATATAAAATTAGACCTAACTTTTGTTTCCGATATTTTTTGTATTGTAAACATTTACACAACATTGAGATGTAACAAGTTTGTGTTTAAAAACCTGACCTTTCAATTAGACAATGATCAGACACTTTGGCTTGGGCAAGAAAGATTTTGACCAATCAAAATGGTAAATTAGATTTCAAAGAAAACAGATAAAGAAGTTGTTTGACAAAATATAGGATCTAATTTTAATTTCTAATAAATCTTGTAAATAACATAAACTTAGGTTTACAGTTAACCATTATAGAGCTTCGTTAAGTTTGATATTGAGATCCATAGACTATGTGTCATAGCACATAGTCTCTGTATAATATATTTAAAACAAACTGCATCTGAACCAGCCCCCACCCTTTTCTTATGATAAAACATGTGCTTTAGTTAGACCATGTAGTAATGTATAATTTGGGTTTCTGGCATTTCTGCATGATTAATTATATGATTATAGCAATCCAATTGATTGTTTTCTCTCCCATGCTTCAATATAAGATAAAAAATCATATTGCATTTATATTTCTTTAAAAATTTGATTTGTTATTAAGAATTTTGCCAATTCATTTTGTGTTAAATTACTTTAGTGAATTTTACTTAAACAGGCATTATGCAAGAGCTAAATCTGCTTTCGTTAGGCCTTAAATTATATATCAATTATTAATTAGACATTAATTAACTTACCGGTACCAAGTCCAAAATCAACCCTCAATGCCATTGTATAGTCTAGATTTTCAATAGATTCAAATACGTTGTGCTGTTGATGCGGTTACCTTAAGAATAGATAATCAAGACTTTGTTAATTATCGTAACAATGGTAGCAATGACAATCAAGGCTACACTATTCTTCTAACAATGATAATAAGGCTCAGAGTGAAGCAATGTGACTGAAATTTTCAATATATTAGTTCTTTTCATTATCTATTCTTTTAACTATTTTAGCGAAAACAATCAGCTCTTTATCTAAATCTTATACAATGCATCTTTAGAATAAATAATATCTTTAGTGAAAGCAATATATAATAACATTCACTAGATTTATTAACTGCAACATTTCTATGAGAGTACTCTCACCATTGTTTGATAACGCGAGAGTTGCACTTAATAAACCTTGTTAATGTTATCCATACAGGTAGCTGCCTGTTATTACTAATTACATGTTAACCTAGATAACCATTGTTTTAATTATTTATATTACAGAAAGTGATAATATAAGTATTGGTAGTTCAAGAAGTAGTCATCTGTATGGAACACATAATTTAGCTGACAGTAAGACAAGTATAACAAGTGGCAATTATGGTGGAGCCGGACAACTGAGTGCAACAGAGAGTAGTCGCGGTGACGACTATCACGACGAAACTGACAGTGAGAAATCAAGTTTATCTGGTTAGATTTGTGCTCCGTTTGATGAGTACCTTGTAAATCTGGTGTTGGTTCCTCCGCTTCTGTTAAACCACCGCACAATTTTCCATCTAGTTGCATAGCAATCAATCAGTCAATTACCTTATCACAATATTGTCCACAAGTTTTGATTTAGGACTTAAAACTCAATTCTCATTCTAGATATAATATCATTTGACCACATCCCTCAAATTTAGATTTAAAATCGAAAATTAGAGGACGATCTCAATTTAGCTTCCAAGCAAATAATTGATGCTAAACTTAGTTTCTTTAGTAAATTGTAGCATAAAGGCCATTCTATAGGATTATAGCTTTAAGGGGTGAGACTACATGCAAAAAAAATTGTTTTTAATTTAAAAGCTTATTGAATTGAGAATCATACAAGTAATTTAAAAAAAAATTAAGATAACTGAACTTTTTTAATTTGGGTTGAAAATAAAATTCTTGATTTCGCTTCGTTTCGTTGACAATTTTATATCCAAAGATAAAGCCAGTGTTTGGATTTAACTGTTCCATTGTTGACACTGTAAGCCACAAAATGTAAATAGTAAATAAAAGTAAAACATGACTTATTAATAATCTAAATAACATGTCAGATCAACCCGATTTAGTACTTTATTCTGACCTAAAGCAAAGAGATTTAACCCCTTAAATTTACACTATATAGAAGTTTTAGCTAGGAAAAATAGTTGTGTCATATTTTTTGGTTTCTTCCTGTGTAATCTGGTTAAAGTGTCATATATTTGTTTGCTCTGTCTAACCTTGTGGGTTTCTCCAATATCCTTCCACCACTAAAAGGCGCTATGCGCAGGCGAATTATTGAACTAAAATTGTACCATATGTTAGTCCTGAAATGACCCAGTTGTGTCAAGTGAAAGTTAAAAGTTAAATCCCTTAACCCCATTTCTCTCTTTCACTTCGGGGAGGGGGGGGGGTTGGATGGCTAAAAGGTTAGCACGTGCGGGCTGTATCATAAGGCCTGTCGTTGAGTCAACTAGCCTGGTTCCAAAATGACCTGGTTTGTGTCAAGTGGATGTTAAACCTCATTTCTCTGTTTGGTTGTTCCTCTGGGCAATATATATAATACATGTACTACTGCTATATGTTGTTAAGATTAAATAGTGAGTATGATTACAGAATTTTGTTTCTTAAATTTACACTATTTTGAATTTTTAATTAGGAAAAATAGTTGTGTCATATTTTTGGTTTCTTCCTATGTAGTCTGGTTAAAGTTTAATTTATTTGAATGTTCTGCCTAACCTTGTGGGTTTTTTCTGTGTCCTCCAGTTTCTACCCAATGGTAAAGACCCCTATGTGCAAGCATGTCATTAAATAAAATTGAACCATATGTTAGTCCTGAAATGACTTAGTTTGTGTCGAGTGGATGTTAAACCCTTTCCCCCTCTCTCTGTAGATTGTGTCAAGTAGAGAAGATAATCCATAAAATATTATATTCAGACAACAGTTTACACTAAACTCATGTTGAGAAATCATACTACATGTAGTTATTTTAAGAAGAAAATGGAGACATTCTATTTCTACATTTGTATGTCAAGACATCAGGGTCTCCAGTTACATGTCTACAAATAGCTTAAATGTAGCTAAGATGAAAAATGTCTGATATTAGATTAACTTGTGGTCTAAGGTTTCCTCATTTTATCAATCTTCTAATATTTGATACTTTTAAATGGTTCCTTTTTAGGATCACAAATAATTTATTTTGTTATTCTCAAACTCTCAAACATAAATTTTAATCTGAGATATCCATATCAGTTTTCCCATCCTTTTACAGTTACGGTAATAAATGATCGATTAACAATTTCAAAGCCTCAACGCACCTGAATAGCCATTGTCCTTATTTAAATTTAATGACATTAAGGACTGAAAAATGATGGCTGAAGAGTATTCTTTAGATGTTATCGATATCTGGATGATTGAAATAAGAATAAATCCTAAGTTAGATGTCATCTGAATGTTGTTGTTCATCAATAGAAAAAAGGTTATTTTTAAGTACCTGACTGATGTTCAAAGACAAAAAAAGATGATGCCTTAAAACCAAAATCAAGCAATTTAAATTTAGATGGCCAGACCTGATGTATTGATTGATTTAAATAATTTTTGATCTGACTACTTTTTGACGTGTATGATCTGAAAATCTATATTGTTCCTTTAAGTATAGTAATTTGTAAAGAAATATTATTAAAAGAGAATGTTAATATAAAACCGGTGCGGTATTCAAATCTCCCCTTTCAATTTGTTCTTTTTAATCACGTAGACAACGGTTGTCTTTAATCGCCTGCTGTCGTCTATATTCAATTAAATTGTTTAATTATGTTCAGTAATTAAATACAAGACTTCATTTCCTGGTTGTCTGTCTCTATTGATCTCAGACGTGATAATAGACTGGATTGTGTATGGCTAGAAGCTTAAAATAAGGACAGATAAGACACAATCTTGTTAGCTTTAGACAAAAACTTCAGGAATATAAATCCAGACCTGTCTTCCATCTGTCTATTCAAATGAAATTCCTAATGTACGTTTTAATTGGATAGAATTAAGGTCTCCTCAACAGATATTGTATTCAAATTTGAGAAAATTAATTATACCATTAATTAGGGCTTAAACAAAGGTACTATGGTTTAATTGAGTAGATTTAAGGTCTCAACAGAAAATTTACCATTAATTAGGGCTTAAACAAAGTTTCTCTGTTTTTATGTTAAAAGAGGTACTAGCACCTCAGAGATTTTGTCCTGTTGGTAAAATGGTGGATGGGGGTACATTCTTTGACTGGTATGTTCAAATGACCATAGATTGTATGTAAAATTTAAGATCTATCAATCTATGGCTGAAAGTGTTTACATCTTTTAGTTGGTTCAAGGAGTAAAATGAATGCCAATAAAATAATCTTGTTACAACAATTTGATGTTTTGGAATTTCTTATAAAAAGGAAGTGTCATATTGATTTCCAATCATTTTAATTTAAAACTAACAGAGTTATGCGAAATCATGTTAGCCCTCTAGAGGTCTTTTATTATTTTTGGCGGGGTAATTAAGAACAAAAATAATGTCAACTTTCTTAATTAAAGAAGATGATGTTATTTGAAGTTTTCTACACTTGGTTAAACCTTCAAGACATTTTGAGGCTTCATGAATTACACAAGTCAATTGGAATATTAAATTTATGCAATTGCTTTCTGAACTGCTTTCTTTTTATATATTGAGGGGATCGCAAAGCTACTTGTGGTTGGATTTTTTGGTGCCTGGCAACCTATTCTTGTTGCTGTCTTTATTTTAAAAAATCCAGTTTCATTTTTAGTTGTATACAGAAAACACTTTTCATCAAGAGAAAATACTATGAGAAATAAAGGCGGTAGCATTTATAGAAATGGTGTCAGAAATACTAAGCTTTGACCCAATCCATAATTTTTATCCTTAAAATCTGGCTTAATTTTTTTCCGAGGCATTGTCAGAATTATGTATTAAACATTGTCAGAAATACTAAGCCTTGACCCAATCCATAATTTTTATCCTTAAAATCTGACTTAATTTTTTTCCGCGGCATTGTCAGAATTATATATTAATGACATGCTAAACATAATGAAAGAAAAAAATCCCATATATATTGAATAGAAGAGAGTTCAGCAGATAAGCAGTGCAATTAATTATATGCCTCAATATCCCTGTAGATTACAAATTTTCTGATGTCCAATATATTTGATTAAAAATCACATAAAATCTAATGATAAATGCAAACATCATTGATTAAAAAGAGCTGATCCCTGTATAGATCATAACTTTAAATGAAATATTAATTAATTAATCTAAAACTAATTAATTTTCTCAGATTTATATTTAAACGAATATGACCTTTTGTCCTCTTGTAGTTTGTCAAGAAATGAAAGTGTTGGTTTAATTTATTTTGCTAGATGGGTGTTTTTCTGTATTTGAATTAAAATTTGTAGACTAAGCCAGTGTTGACATAACCAATGTTCATTTAAGGGAGAAATGAAACAAGTGTAAACATACCTTCTTCTGATAACTCGGAAGTTAATCATATCATCACATAAACCTAATTAATCAAATATCACATCAAATTAAAGATCCTAATAGTTAAAGCAATTCATTAATAAACTGAACAGAGAGAGCAAACAAATAAGACTTCATATTTTGTAGGTTTTATATTTTGAAATTAGCCAGATATTTTATGCATTACAAATAAATCATACTTGGGATGAAGATTCTGTTAACTATATTTGATAACCCAGATTTACAAATATTGCATGCTACCTGTTACTTTAATTAGACTTTGTAGCTTGTTTGTTTTTTCTATGTTACACCAATTATGTTATGAAAAATGTTATATTTCAAGACCTCAGACAAGTGGCGATTACAAATTTAGACTTGAATTTACTCAGCTGGACATTTTGTCATGCATAACAAATTTTAAGAGAAAAATGGCTTTGAATTGAAATCATTCCATTAATTCAAATATGTTTGTCAAAAAACACAGATCTATGCAGAGAATTATATTGGTCCTTTGATTTACTTATGGTAAAAATATAATGCCAAGTCACTTTACTTAAATGAACTGGTATAACACCACACATATGGTAACATTTCACATCAGATGAGTTTCTCCATAAATTTGCCATCATTGCTTATCAGGAAAATATAATATATCTAGTAGGTATATGAATAAATAACATTTTCTTCTGAACATATTGAATTATTATTTTCTATTTTTCTTTTTAAATTGATATTTTGTAGTATTAAATATGGTCCTATAGTCAGCTTTCTATGTCGTTTCTGTTGTGTTTTTTTATATTATTAGGTTGTAAATTTTATTATTCTTGAACTATTCATCATGGAATGTGAAATGATCAAATTTGAATGCTAAAATTAGTATTGATCTGACTATATTGATTTTATTGATTTTATTTTGAGTCTTGGTAAAACCAATTCTATTTGATTGCATGTCTATGATAGATGGTATATTGAATGGGTATTTAAAGATTCATTATGTAATAGATAAATCTGCCTATTGTAGGTCTTTCTTTTGTCTTCAAATGTTATATAAATCATTAATTAGACATTTATTAACATGACAAGACCATAATCAACTCTCTAGACGATAATTATCAAAACTCCAAATACTATATCTTTGCTCAGAATAATGTAATTTAACTGAAATTTTCAATATATCAAGTTTTAATTATCTATTTTTGAACTATTATAGCAATAACGACCAGCTCTTTATCTAAATCTTACATAAATCATCTTTAAGTTTTGAATTCACAGTTAAAATTCATCTTTGTGTAATAATAATTCATATCAACTAACCTGACCAAAGTAAAATCAATGCAGGATATAGAGCTAAAATTGAGTTTAGAATCCCAGAAAAAAAATATTTAGTATTAGAATCAGAGTTTGAACTTATTTTTATCCAAATCATATAATAGATACTCATTCACAGAATTTCGAAATATCACTCCAGATAGAGTGAACAATAGAAAAATTTTGTTGCTTTGGGTGTTTTTCCTTTGGTTTAAATAGAGAAATGTGGACATTTTGTCGTCTCCATATATTTGTTCAGAATGAAGAACGCTGTTAGAATCAGAATGTTGGGATCGCAAATCACACAGTAATCTCACTGTTTACTTTGAATTATATGAACACTGTACGGAACAAGGCTCTTGACGAAAAATTTTAAAACTTGATGGGATTGTTCATTAGGGTATAAGGAAAATTCTTAATTTTAAAATTTTCTTGATCTTAAGTTTTTAACATGTTCAATCTGATTAAAACACAGATCCTATTTCGCTTCGATTTTTATAGTTCAAAATTTCGTTTTACTTGTCTTTACTACCCTAGGATCTGGAAGTGTTTTTATATAACCCGCGTTTTGCAGATTTAATTTTCCAGGCACATTTATGGCATTTAAAGTTTGTGAACACGATACCGGAAAACATTTTTAAATAGAGTTTTTAAATAATTTGGTTGGACTACTAGTACTATGTAAATATTCTATTAGGAATACTAGTGCCGTATAATTCATGTAAATTACTTTTTAACCTATTTTTTGTGTGTTTCTATCTATATGTAAAGAACTTTTTGATCATTTTTTTGTTTTCTATGTTTGTAAATTACTTTTTTTATACGATTACTATATGAATCACTTTTCCATTATTTTTGTTTGTTTCGATATTGTTTTTAATGGAAGAATCTAGACCGTATAATCGTTCTAAGCTGTGGTGGAAATGGGATGTTTTTATGGAAGAATCTATTTTATCTATGGAGAGGATATATAAGTAGGGATAATAAAACCCACCAGACTCTATAACCTGTTGTTATAAACTGTAGTCGAATTGGTAGGGTACCGCTGGTTTGGGTCATAGGAGAACCCTAAGGAAATGGAGAATTTATAGATAACAAATTGCAGAGATTTTCCCCCATTTACATTACATTTGATAAAATATTAAAAATGTGAACGCAATACAGGACAGTTTACTCAAGACAATATAGCGAAGGGCCCTACTGCATTTCAATTTCAAAAAGTTTTCTTGCCATTCACATTTTGACTTTAAAGCTTGAGGCTCAGTTCGTAGTGGTTTCTTATCTAGAACTTGCTCTGGATTTTGTATCAAATTTTATCTTTTTTTATGGAATAGGTACACTAGACAGCATCAGAATTATTGTTATTTTATGTATACTTGTAAATAGACAGCAAGTGATGAATGGTTTTGTCTGTTTAAGGTTTTAGCCGAGATGGTTCTACAAGATCACATGGTGTAAGTGTTGCTGGTAGTACACGATATGATGATGAACATGATAATATAGATGTGGCTATAAACCAGTATAATAAACATCAAGATGATGAAGAGATTGTTTCATCACCTGATAGTGATAGTGGAAGTAAGTTAACGTGGCACAGTAGATAGATGTTTCTGCTTTTTTTAATGATACAGATCTATCATAATTGTTTGTACTTGGTGTGGGAGCCACGATGGTTCGTTGAGTAAGAAGTTGGCTCACTAACCAGGAGGTCCTGTGTTTGATCCCAGTGTTTGCTGAGAAATTTCATCAGGAATTTCCCACATGATTCCTCCATGTCAGTGGCGCAGGACAGAGGGCCTGGCAAGGAACAGCCTATAGTTGTTTGGATGGGTCGAAAAACCGAGGTCCCTTGTACACTGTCATGTATGTAAAAGAACTCTTGACAGTTGGAATTTGATATAAGAATAAGCCATAGTGCCTCTGTCTTGGCAAAATTGGTACATAACAATAGGAGGTTAAACCCCATTTCATTTCTTATTTGGTGATAATATCATCCATAGTTCAACTTATATCATTAATATACCCACGTAACGGTTTTGCATATATTGAAACAACAAAGGGTTTTATGTCTACTTCTACAGTACTGATAAGAACTAGTTAAGTTCGCTCATGATGTTACAATATAATTTGACAATCTGTCCATTTGTAACTTATTGCCATGGTATTGGTTTTGTTTGAATTTTTCCCTTTATATATAGAACACATGGGGTCAGCTAACCCTGGTAGCCCCACTTGGTAGAGGATCTTGAAGTATGCATTTAAAAAGAAGCGAAACAAACTATTTTAATTGAATAGAAATTTGCTGTATTTTATTTGTCTTTGCAGTTTTTCATTGGACAAGACAGTTGTAAGGATTCTAGTATTGTTAATAAATTTATAGTGTAAAACACTGTTAATGAAATGTGACTACTAGTAATTATTATTTTAATTGATATTTTTCAGCATCTCTTGGTTGCTTAGAATTTTCTTTATTATATGATTCCGTTAATAACGCCTTATACTGTACAATAGTCAGAGCTAGGGTAAGTTTGGTTTTATTTAGTTTTGTGTGCAAATATCATATATAATCTTTTTATTATTGGAATTTAAATCAAATTTATTAACTAAGTAACTCAAGACTTTTGGTGACTCGATGAGTATCTGGCTTACCAACCAAGAGGTCTGGGTTCTATCCTGGTGTTGGCCATCATAGTGCCAGGTTGGTCGGATGGGACAAAAAAAGGTCCTGTGTATACCATTGGCAGTACGTTAAAGATGTGACATTCGGAAATATGAAAATATTTATCATAATGATAAATCGTTTTCTGGTTTTTATCTGTATGCTTTGTAACAATATGATTGTTTATTTTGGTTTTAGGGATTAAAAGCAATGGATTCTAATGGTCTATCAGATCCATATGTTAAACTTCATCTTTTACCTGGTGCCAACAAGGTAAGTTTATAAATCAATTTGTTACGCCTTTCTCAGGCCTATGCTTTAGACTTATAAATTATGGGATCCATGGTGGCTCAGTAAACCTGGAGGTTTGGTTTTGACCAAGAAAATTCATCTGGATTTTCTGGATGGTTCCCCCGTGTCAGTAGTACAGGACGGAGGGCCTGGCAAGTGACAATGTATAGTCGTTTGAATGGAACAAAAAAAACGAGGTGTACACATTGGCGTGCACCTAAAAGAACCCTCAGCAGTTGAAATTCAATGTAAAAGTAGGCCTTTGAGCTGCTGTCTTGGCAAAATTTCCCTCCTAGCACAATGTATGGTGTTCGCCCGTCTTCATTTACCCAGTTGGAGCAGAAAATCGGACATCAAACCCCATTTCATTTTCTTTTCAATTATATATTGTAACTAATGTTTAAGTATTAGTGTTGCAAATAGCAAATGCTTCCTGCAATAAAATGTTGAGGGAAACAAAAAAAAGGGGGAAAATTTGTTTTATCAAGATATATAAGAGTAATGAACTCTAATATCAAGTACAGGATCCCACGAAAAAGGGGGCATTTGTTAAACATTGTATTATTCTATATATCATGATCGTCTGTGTGTTGACAAGAAATCTCAAATTTTAGTACACTAAAAAAATAGTTTACAACTATACAATTTATAGATAAAAAGGACTTTTTGATAGTTATCAATAGGGTTTATATATATAATCACTTTACTTCATATATTACAGAATATAGCAATAACCACATGTTAGTCCCAAATCAGCTAACTTTGTAATGACATGGGGGGTCACGGTGGTTAAGTTTGATCCCTGCATTGTCCGAGAAAGTTCATCCAGATTTTCCGGCGTGGTTCCCCCTTGTCAGTGATGCAAGATGGAGGGCCTGACAAGGATAGCTGTCTAGTCGTTTGGATGGGATGAAAAAACGAGGTCCTGTGTACACATTGGCGTGCACATAAAAGATCCCTTGACAGTTGGAATTCGATATAAGACTAGGACGTAGTGCCACTGTCTAGGCAAAAAATTCCCTCATTGCACACTGTATGGCATATGCCAGTCTTCATCAGCCCGGTTTGGAGCAGAACAGTAGGACGTTAAACCCCATTTCATTTAATTTCATTTTTGTAATGACATGATTGTTAGTGCTTTTCTTTCCCTTGTTTCCTATGATTCTTTTTATTTTTAGTCAACTAAACTACGAACAAAAACTATTCATAAGACATTGAATCCAGAATGGAATGAAACGTTAACTTATTATGGAATTACAGAGGAAGATATTGTGAAAAAAACTCTGAGGTATATTCAAAAATTGTGTGAAGAAATAGCATATTAAGCATTCTTTTCCAAATAAAGCGTTCTTTAAACCTGTTTTAATTTTAATTAAAGTTTTTTTCTCCTTCAACTAATCAGATAAATTTAACTATGTACCAATGAAATAATTGGGAGCCAAGATGGCTCCTTGTGTAGGCGCTGACTCACTAACCAGGAAGTCCGTCGTTCTATCCTGGTGTTGGCAGAAAAGGTTCCAACAAGGTTTCCACTTGTCAGTGATGCAGGACAGAGGTCCTGGTAAGGAACATCATCTAGTCGTTGTGATCAAACAAAAAAACAAGGACCCGTATACACCGTGGTGTGGCTGTAACAGAATCCTTGACAGTTGGCATTCAATTGCCGTTCAGACAAAATTTCTCTCATAGCACACTGCATGGTGTATGCTCGTCTTTATCAACACAGTTGGTGCAGAATCACCCTTTACATATCCCCCTCCCCCCATCTCAACGAAGTCAGACAAAGAAAACTTTCAGTGTATGCATGAAATAAAATAAAACTGTGTTAAATGAATGATTTCAGATTATCTGTGTTAGATGAAGATCATTTTGGTTTTGATTTTATCGGAGAAACAAGAGTGCCATTAAAAAAGCTCAAACCACATCAGACTAAAGCCTTCAACGTCTACCTAGAAAAAACATTCCCGGTAAGTCCAAACTGAACATCATCAATTTTTGTAGAAATTTTTTATATTTATTTAATGCAAATTAAAATTCCTCTAAGAAAGTCTGGATCTTAGAATAAGTTTTGTAATTGATTTCTAGCATTTGGATAATGGAATCTAAGTCTATTATAATATTCCAGGAATCTCTTATACAGAAATGATTGAATTCTTTCAATTTCACTCTGTAATTGATAGGTTTAACTTTTGTTTTCAGTTAGAAAAAGATGATGATTTAATAGCTATTAGAGGAAAGATATTATTGTCATTACGATATGCTACCTCTAGACAGTCACTAATAGTACGTATAATACGATGTGCTGAACTGGCATCAATGGATTCAAATGGTTATTCAGATCCATATGTAAAAGTGTAAGTTTTTGTTCATTCTATCTTGCTATTACCAAAATCAGTTTTGTTTAAAATGGATATGTATGTTTAGCAGTGCAAATGACACAAAAAACAAAAGTTGTGTGCACATGTTGACAAAGCCATTAAAAGACACTTAAGAGATGAAATTTAAAAAGTGCAAAAATGTAGACTGTATACGGTCCTTATGTATATTAGAATATATGGTTTTATTTTCGTTGTGTTTACAATTATTCACGTTCAAGGGCTGTACGCTCACAAATTTGTCCAAACTAGTGTGGTTTACTGCCCAGGTTTGGTCAAAATTTTGCCAGATTTGATTTCTGCTCCCTTGATCCTGTCTATAATAATAAGATGCAAAACTGATTGAACAAGTTTTTTTTCCATAGACGACCAGAAGCTAGCTAGCTCAAATGTTACGGTAGAATAAATTTTTCTGAATCAGTTGATTCTATTGAATGTAGTATTTCCATAGACAGAATCAGTTGATCCTATTGAATGTAGTATTTCTATAGACTTGAATCAATTGATCCTATTGAATGTAGTATTTCTATAGACTTGAATTAATTGATCCTATTGAATGTAGTATTTCTATAGACTTGAATTAATTGATCCTATTGAATGTAGTATTTCTATAGACTTGAATTAATTGATCCTATTGAATGTAGTATTTCTATAGACTTGAATTAATTGATCCTATTGAATGTAGTATTTCTATAGACTTGAATTAATTGATCCTATTGAATGTAGTATTTCCATAGACTTGAATTGATTGATCCTATTGAATGGGGTGAAATTTAAATGGTATATATTGAAATAAATTTAAATTTACTGGTAATAATCGATGGTTGTAATATTGTAGATATTTAAAACCAGATAAAGATAAGAAATCTAAATATAAAACATCAGTAAAGAAGAGAACACTTAATCCAGAATTTAATGAGGTGAGAATTATGAGTGAACTTTTCTGTTTTATCAACATCTATACCAGTATTTTATATTGACTGTATTATCTAGTACACATAAGGTACGAGCTTAGCACTTTGTTGTCTTGATACCACTCCTACAATCAGCTTCATGAACCCCATTTATACTACAAAGATAGAATGGTAGGTCTACACAGTAGTGTAAACGGGTCCAAATCATACTCAGTCCAGACCTGAACTCGGTTACTAGTTAGGTTAAAACTTTGATAGAGTAAATGGAAATTGGATCTGGACAAGTTATTTCAGAACATATATGAATGCACTATGAGCAATGACCATTTCTTTATTCCCAATACCCATCACTTAAATTAACCTTTCTGTGAAAAGTTCCACACATGACCATGTTGAGAATCTTTAGATCACAGATAGGGTAAATGGCCATAACTACCAATATTTTATCTGATTCAGATCCAGATAGCCTACATTTGACAAATATGCATCAATCATGCTTTCAGGGACAAGAGAATTATGTAGGCCTGCAATATAACTGGAGGTTGTTAATATGCCTTGACTAAATGTATTTATATATATTGTAAATATTGTAAAGAAGTGTACACTAATGTACGAATAAATGTGAAATAAATAAATAAATAATATAATCATTAATTCTTAATGGATTATGCATTTTGATGTGTAATAAATATGAGTCTTTGATTTCCCCTTTCAATCAGCTGTGTTGACTGCTATATTTACACTACATCTTTCCCACCATCAGATTATCTCTTGAGTAAAATTTATATTTGGCTTTGTTTACAGGAATTTGTCTATGAAATCAAACATAATGAACTGCCAAAGAAAACATTAGAAGTGACTGTATGGGATAAAGATATAGGAAAAGCCAATGATTTTATTGGTAAGTACTGAATGTACAAGATAGTTCTTTATAAATAGTTGACTTCTCTAATCCAGTATAGTTGAGCTTTTGTTTACAAATAAATTTGTTATCTCAAGTGAGTTGAAATAATTTTAGATGTGTGTAAAGGGTCAGATGCAATTAAGAAGCTTAATATGGAAAGATGATAGCTTACTGATCAGTTGCTGTAGATACTTCTATAATGAAACACCTGATACTACTGGTCACTGGATGCTCTCATCTGTTATAGAGTTGTCCAGTAATGGACAGTTTTGTATTAGTATTAGGTTAAACATGCATTATGCAAGAGCTAAATCTGCCTATCGCAGGTCTTTCTTCAGGCCTGAAATCTTATCTAAATTATTAATTAGACATTGATTAACTTATCCAGACCATAATCAACTCTCGATGTCAAGGCTAGCCTTGGATATCGACTGGATTAGAATCCTATATGCTGCAAACGCTCATTGATAATTAAATCAAAACAATGGATAATCGAGACTATGCTTTTTAACGTACTAACTTTAGTAATGATGAACGAGGCTAGGCGGAAATTTACAAAGCTGATATCTCGGTTCATAGTGGACCAATTTGGCTGAAATTTTCAACAAATTACCTTTACATTATCTAGTTTTTAACTATTATAGCGAGAACTTTCAGCTTTTTATCTAATCTCCCATAATGTATCTTTAATTTGGGTGCCTTGTCAATTGTTTTATTATCCTGTTATGAAGGGCTTTGCCACTCACTTTGATACTTTGTATCGTGATTACTTTGTAAGTGTTCTGTTGAGTGTTGTGATGTACTTTCTTTAGGTAATATACAAAATTGTTCTCAGATATAACTGTATCACTTCAAAACAATTTCATTGTGTACTTAGGCAATCTGATTAAAATACAAATCTATATATCTTGTTTTTATTTTTATACTTTTAATGGTCTCCACTACATTGAGATATGAGAGGTTGTAGTGGGAGTCACATGTAACGTCAGGGGGTCATGCAATATCGATGCGAATGTCTACCCACAGTTCCGTACACCACACGCCCATCCCTCACATCAGCCAGAATGCAGGTTATTTAACAACTCTTTCAGATCCTGGCTATAGTGAAGTCAAGTAAAACAAAGTTTTGAACTATGAATGGGATCTGTTTTGTAACCAGATTATTACCTTGCACTTACATTTCTTGTGTTAAAAGGGAGATAGCTCTTTTATATGTTGCTGGTTGAATTTGATAGTGTCTTGTAGGCTCAATTATCAAGTACACAACCTTGATAAATGTTATTGACAATCCAGATTGTCACTGACAATCATTATCAGGAAATGGTGATCACATGGATGATAATTATCCTGTGAACTACATCTTGTAAATAAACTTAGCATATATGTTACACAAGAATCAGTAATTATGTTTGTGAATTCCATAAACATGATGACTATACAGATGGGAGAACCTTGAAATGTAGCAACATGATCAGTTGACAAATAAAAACATCACTCCTGCAACAAAGTTGTTTGAATGATTGTCGGAGAACCAGAATATTGTTTTATTGTGGCCTTAAAGATTAATATTTATCTCTGTATTTTAGGTGGTGTTCAGATTGGTATTAATGCTAAAGGTGAACGGTTAAGACATTGGTTTAACGCATTGAAGAATCCTGATCGTGAATTCAGACAGTGGCATGTTTTATCGGCAGAACTGACTCCTGAGGTTTATACATAACCTAATCCTATTGCATGTTGTAGCCATTCTGTGTCTTGTTCAATGTGAGTGGTCACTATTGTTAATTTTTTTTAATCAATTGAGTTAAAGATGAAACTTTAGGGAAAATATTATTTAAAACTGATGAAACAAAAACAAGGTTTTTAAAACAGATAATAACAAATTGGTTGTCAAACAGTTATCTTTCCTTGAAACTGAAAAGAGTGAAATTATGAGAATGTAAGGTATAATGTATATATTTATATTTGTGCTTTCCTGAATACATGTTCATTAATGCCATCATATTCATTCCTTCTACTTTCCCCTTACCTATTCTTAATCCATTTAATATAATATCCCAGCTAATACTATATTCTATTTCAATATATAATAAGTTCTATCCTTGCATGTATATATATATACATACTATAATATCTCTGTCTGATTGTCAGGTCTAAACAACTATCTTGATGACAAGGTTTGGTTTTGATTTCGCTCGTGATTGATTTAATTGATTGTATCAAGTTAATGCAATATTAATTAGATTCATATTCAGTTAAACATCTTTAATGTTCAGAGTGGAAATTTATTATGCAATAAATGAAAGATATAGATAAACATTTCAAAATAAGTAAATATTAGTGTGAAACAGGGGTGGTACCAGAATTTATATGGCTGGATGGTCATTTTCAATGGTCAAAGGGCTGTGAATAAATAGAAAGATGGGGGGTGGGTGAGGGCATATCTTCTTGTGCATTTTACTTTTATATATTACGAATTCAAATAACCTACAAAGAACTAAATTTGATTAATTTGGATTGACAGTGAACTTCCTTGCATTCTTGATGAAGTAAGTCATGTAATATACATTGTTAATCAAATGAATTCCTGACGGAGTGAACCTCACAAGAGAGTTGTTCTTGGTCTTTCCAATTCTAGTTTCTTGCATTCTCGATATTTATATGTCTTCAAAAACATAAAATTGAATAAGACCGTTATGTTGAGGTAAGCTCGAGCATTACTTCTATTAGTTACTACATGCTTGAGTTGAGAGGTCAAAACAGAACACTAATATATTTTTATCTACTATACAGAATCTACAGTTATTGATAAGTTACAGAATTGACTTTTTTTTATCTTCGCATGTTACAATTTACAGCATGGATTCTGATGTTATTCAAATATTACAAGTTACAGCATGGATTCTGATATACATCTGTTATTCAAATGTTACAAGTTACAGCATGGATTCTCAAAGGCATATGCTATTCATATATTTTAATTCACAGCATGGATTCTGATAGTCATTTTTTATTCAAATATTACAAGTTACAGCATAGATTCTGATAGGCATTTGTTATTCAAATATTACAAGTTACAACTTAGATTCTGATAGGCATTTGTTATTCAAATATTACAAGTTACAACTTAGATTCTCATAGGCATATGTTATTAAAATATTACAATTCACAGCATGAAAACTGATTTACATATGTAATTCAAATATTACAAGTTACAGCATAGATTCTGATAGGCATTTGTTATTCAAACATTAGCATGCTACGCATCAATATTTTCAGAAAAACATTGTAAATAAAATCGAAAATAAACTTACAATAAATGCTTGATAGCTTGAATGTTAAATTTATTGGGCTAGGGTTTATATAATGTAATAAAAAAGAATGAATGTTGAATGCATGCATGCTAATACATGTACATATTTATAAATATTTACTTATAATTATATCTATTAAATACAATATAATCACTTGCATGAAGGACTGGTACCCATAATATTTATGTTTAACTTCTTATTATAATAACACCACAATGAAATTCTTTCATCTACAAAAAACCTATATTGGTCTATATTCACAATTCTATGCATTAAGTTTCTTTCATTATCATCTTCATGGAATATTGGTATAAGTATACACATTACTACCAGGCTACTGGTAATCATGTCTAAATCATTTATTGCATCTTTTAAACCCAGTTCCTGGAAAAGTCTTGTTTTCAGCCTAATTTTAAGTCAGCTTACATATTATAATAATTAACTGGGCCCTTATTCACGAAAACTTAAACTAAGATACAATTGAAATTTTAAGAAATACTGCAATTCGATTGGCTGACCAATATGCAAATTGGATATATGCATATTGATTTTACTGGTCAGCCTATCGAATTGCAGTATTTCTTAAAATTTCGCTTGTATCTTAGTTTAAGTTTTCGTGAATAAGGGCCCTGAGATACAAATGCTATTTATTGTCATAGCAAATTCAGTGGAGGTGGGAGGGAGGGGGGGGGGGGACATTGACCAAATAATTGAGAGGCTTGCAGCCAAAAACCAAGGCAGATGCGTTTCATCAGTTTTGATTAAAGGCAGCCAAGTAATCAAGAGGCCAATATCAAAAGTTTTAAAATGACGATAACTCTGAGGATTGTGATTAGTGTGATTTAAATGTGATGACAGTTCATATTAACACTCACAATGCCAACCCACATAATCACGATTTTATTAATTATTTTTGTTGATTGCAGTCCTTATCTCGGACATACAGTAACTTTTTGGGGGCGGGGGTCAAGTTGACTTCAACTACGGAGGTGGAATCAACATTACTACCGGTTTGAACAGAAGATTTTTCTAGGAAAGATGCTGTCTTGATCATATACATAAAAATTTAATAAAATCTCTCTTATAAACCTCTATACTAAAATGTTATGGTTTTTTCTCTATTTTAGCCTGATGAGTATTAGAATACTACAGTAAACCTACATAGAATCTACTGCTACAAAACCTGATATATTACAATATATACAGATCATCATGTATTTAAACACAGAATCTCTAGTCAGTCTGTACATAAGGGGGATGCTCAGTTGAAAGTTCCGGAATTGAGTTCTGTCAAACCCAAAAATAGTGACACTTGAGTGAAAATAGGAATTTTGGGCTAGAACCTCCAATGCTGGGACTGACAGAACTGTGACAGGACTGAATTCCATGTCACATGATTGCAATCCCGTCAATTTGGAACGTTCCAGAATGACAATCGAGCATCCCCTATTATTCTGAAACAAGGGAGATAATTAAAGGGCTTAGAGTTATTCCATGTTATCAGAAGTCTTCATTATATCCTATGACTACATTTTATGATCTGAGTTGCGAAGTTTGTGTTTTTTAAATGACTTAACTATACCACACATTTCTGTTTAAAGAAAAGAAATTTCATTAATGATTATCATTCATAATCTTTGATTCAGGATACTTATATAAAGTCTACATATAATAAAAAATTAAAATTGGATCAGTATAGCCATTGGCCATTTATTATATTAAATGATTAAAGTACATTATCCCAGAACATATGAATGACAAAATTAACAGAACAAAACATACAGAGGTCTAGAAGTATTTATATCCACATGGTATATAGATGTTTATTATACTTTATAAAGGTTGTAATTAGAATTGTCAAACTAACTTGTACCATGTTCATTTGTGACAATTTTCAAAGGCTCTACCATAAACTGAATTAGTGAAGATATTACATTCTTCACGAAATATGTTGACAGAAATATCCTTATAAAACTTTAAAAATTGTTTCGATTCTCGTTCTCAATAACTATAAGATTCCACATATTTTTTATAAGAATTCAACATGGAGATCTTAGGAATATTGAGATGATTTTTATAGGGATATTTCCTCTTCTTCATTCATTTATTTAACTATTGACGACTATTAATGGACAACAATGGACTTGTGAACGATTTGTAAAAGAGGATATTTATACTCGGTGCACAATTCTATATAATACAATTACTTTTATATTACTTAAACAATGTATCGATTATTATGAAGCAAAAGACTAGAGAATCTTAGTCGAAAAGTCACTTAGTAATAAACACCAAATGTATTTCATAGAATTGTGTCCTGTCTATTTCCAGTAAGTAGTAAATATCACTGAATTATTGGGTGGAGTTATAAATTATTCAATAGTATGTGATTTATGGATTTCTGAGAGATTTATTTATGTTAATTTATTACTAGATATATGTTAATTTGTTACATAGTATATCGGTACTTAAAACTATTCTAAGTCTTAATACATCTTATCAAATAAAAAAAAACAACCTTAATTCAATACTAATACAAGGTTAGGGGTCACATATACGGTAATTATAGATTATGAAATATCTTGTTTGGTGAAAGAATATTGATAAATTTGCTAGAGTAAATATTTTGTTTTTGATATTTTTTAGATTTACATATTTGTTATTGTGATATATAGAATACTGAGAATTGTTGTTTGTTTTCTGATGAACTTATTTCTGTGGTCACAAGATTTTAATCTTAAGTTAAAAGCATACCTCGTAGATTTAAGAAGAAAACAACAAAAATTGTCGACTATCATAAAAATTTGTATTGATTTGTTTTGTGCTGTGTGTATCTCTGCACATTTAAACGCTTAGATCTGTAGATTTAGACTTTCACCGTTTGAGACAAAAATGAAACTGAAGTTAGTAAACAATGTCTTTTGAAGTGAAAATTTAATGTACCAATCTTTTCCCCCCATCACAAATCAAAATAACACTCCACGTCATTTTGATTTGACCTATATAAATAATTATAAAAAACTTAACCTATATCATACATTAAAATGACAAATGATATATAGATTTAATGCTTTACAATCAGACAAATTTGTTTTTAGAACATTTTCAATTTTTTTCATGCTGTCGAAATTTCTTCCATTACATTACTGGAGCATGAAACATTCTTATTCCTGACAAAATTAACTTATGTAAATTATTTGTTGGTGCTTGGTATTAGATCTATTTGTTGATATTGTGTATATTATTAAGGTACTCTCTGGAATCAGAGTACAACAAGTTTGAAATGTTGGGCTATAAAAATGCAAGCATAATTTGTTGTTATAACTTTGGTACAGAGCAGGGTAGCTCTTCAATTAGCTCAATCATTCAATGTCTTCACATAACAGTAAACAAACTGACAGGTTACAATAATAACATTTTGTAACAAGCACCCCGTAGTTACTGGTTGTATTTAGAAGGCTTGTTATTTCATTTCCTACAAGGCAGAGAGATATAATTATAGATTTCTAAGAGGGGAAATATATTGTGCACTAAAGGGAGATAATTCTCTGTACACTGGCTATTAGGCTTCTGGTTGGGTTACAGTAGAATTCCTGTTATATAGATTTTAATGACACTATTCATCTACACAGAAGGCATTCTGTAATCATGATAAAAGCTTATCCAATTAAATATCATATATACTCATGTATTCACACATTCATTCATGAATAGGAAGAAATTGATTGGTGTATTAATTATATAAATGCTGCCAATCAAAATTCATTTAGAAACCAATGCATAAAAAAATGAATGGAATCAATGTTCATCTTCATACTGTTTAATCATGTTTACATAAAAAGTTTTGTAAAATGGAAATTTCTATTTTTCTGTTTGAAATGAAAGTGAAATCTGATCTTTAATAACTTAATATTTCATAAATTATTTATAATTTGATTAACTTAGGCTATATGATAATTATAAAAAATACATTTTAAATTCTATATTTGATTGGATCAGAACCGTGTATTGGTTCATTCTATTTCTTTGTTGAGAGGTCTGTCTATTTTGATTTGGATTTGCTATGATCAGGTCGATAACATTTTTGTCTTTACTGAATCCAGTTTTAATTGTGATAATATTATGTCTGCTTTATTCAAGATATATTTACATTATACTTTACATATTCCAGTACTTACATATATTTTTGATGTGATAAGTTTTACTATATTACATTCTAATGTAATAAGTTAGAAAGTTTTACAATATTAATAAGTTATTCTATATTGCATTCTGTACGTTTTTTTTCCTCTTGATTTCAATACATAATATTACATAATATATACCAACATATTAAATATTATTTTTATGGATCTATAAATCTGTTCTGTTTATTATGATTCTTTTTCTATTCTTTTGAATGGCTCATTATTCAAGAAGTTGAATTTACCCTCTTTTTTTGAGAAATCCATATTTTATTTTTCTTAAATTTATTATATTAAAATATTGAATATTGAAATATAAATTCTACATTTATTGTTACATTGAAAGAAATCTATTTAATATGTGTTATTATTAAAATTGAATAATTAAATATTTGTTATAAATTATAAAAACATTCCTGTATATTGGTTTATGAACATGCAATATTTGACTTTGATTAAATATATGTATGGCATTTTACCTGCTTTGAAATTAGAGTCGACTGGTGCTGACTGCAGGAATCTTAATTTCATTGGATTTGATTGGAGTTTGCCATATTTATTATGAATAATTAAATGAGCAAATTAAAGGGAATTGATTTATTATGAATAATTAAATGAGCAAATAAAAGGGAGTTGGTTGTTATGGATAATTAAATGAACAAATTGAAGGGATTTGACTGGAGGTTGTGTATGTTTGTTGCATTTATGATTGTATTATATTGTTAATCATGGTGATATCCGTACTGCCATGTCATAATCATTTCATAATACTAATATTAATGTTTTATTGATGTCTTCAATAAATATTTCAGCCCAATTACATGGACAGAGTATTTTACAGGGCATTGATTTGTCTCTTTGATTGATTGATATTTTCATGTCTCATTCTCATATTTCATTAACAACTTCATGTTAATCTATGATTATTAGATTAGGTTGAATGTATTTATATTTGTAGTTAATAATACTGACTATGCCACTGGTTTTACAAATCAAAATTTAAAGAGTCCTCTAAATTTACAGATTAACTGATATTTATAATGAAGTATCAATTTACAATTTTGGGTAGCCAAAGTGTATCATACCACCTCTTGTATCCTGCACGTATTTTGATTTTTCTGGCAGAAATTGGATGGTTAGTTCCAAAAAGAGAAAGAAATATAGATACAGTTTATGATATATAAAAATGTTATGAGTATGTAAACTATGTAAATCCAACATTAGAGCATTGTTCTGTTATTATACAAACTTTATTCTGTTTCATGTTATATTGTTAATAATATTATATATTTAATTCATTATTGTACATTCCTTATTAATTATTCATTTCATTAAATAATATTTCATTGTTTTATTTGAATTAAATCACAGGACTTGCACATAGATAACTATCTACCTGTGTTCACTTTTTATGATTAGCCCGCCAGACCCACAACCACACCCAACAAGGTTAAGGGAGGAATATTTAAAATAGGTTCTGTCTTCTTGTCTTCAATATCACGTAAAACTCCAGGAACAAACGAACCTCCTTGTTTTGTTTCTGGAGCACATCTCTTAAAAATCTAGGAAACCTTGTACTCACATCAACCTTTAATATTTTGCTTATTAGAAATTTCTCAAATTGAATCATTTCCATGTTTCCATGGAAACAAATTTGAATCCCATCAAATGAAGATCAGTCTTTAATTGGTCGTCAGTGATTTTTGGACCAGGAACTGGTCGGTAACTGCTACTCATCTTGTTCTTGGGTGACGATCTTCGAAAAAGCCCAAGGATCTGTCAATTCAAATCGGATCGACATGAAATTGGCATGCATCTTCTTTGATCAAGATTTGCTAAATTAGATTTTTGAACTCCATCCAACAATTCGGTCAATTCCTGGTCCATAGGCCTACTATCATACTTGTTTTCTATCAATGTATATATCTTATAGTTTAAATATTTTTATTAGGAAGGAAAATGCTAATTCCATGATATGCCCCAGAGAAACCAATTAAAGATACTTATATTTACACATCTGTCTAGACATTGAATTCTAACGTCTCGTAATGGCGAACTATTTCCAACGTATTTTGTTTGTTTTTATACGCCCACATTTTCATGTGCACGTATTATGCCGTCGCCCCTTAATTCCGTCCGGACGTCCGTCCGTCCACAATTTGTTTGTGGACACTCTACAGGTCACAATTCTTATCCGATTTTGACGAAACTTGAAATATAGGTTTATCTCCAAAAGATCTCGGTTCCTTTCGAAACTTCATGGATTATGGCCCCTGTTTGTACGAAAAATCACGTTTTTAGCTTGTGGACACTATAGAGGTCACAATTTTTATCCGATTTTGTTGAAACTTGAAATCTAAGTTGATAATCCAAAGATCTCGGTTCCTTTCGATATTCGCGCATATCGGACCGTAACTTCCTGAATTATGGCCCCTGATTGTACCAAAAATCGTGTTTTTAGCTTGTGGACCCTATAGAGGTCATAATTTTTATCCGATTTAAAAAACCGTTCAAGTATGTCACCGTTACACCCTAAGAATGACTGAGTTCGAATTTCGTGAAAATCGGCCCGAAATTGACAGACAAAATGGCCGCCGTTCGTTCTCAAATAGCGTAAAAATATGGTATATCAATGTTGTGGACACTATAGAGGTCGCAATTTTTATCCAATTTTGTTGAAACTTGAAATCTAAGTTGATAATCCAAAGATCTCGGTTCCTTTCGATATTCGTGCACATCGGACCGTAACTTCTTGAATTATGGCCCCTGATTGTACCAAAAAACGTGTTTTTAGCTTGTGGACCCTATAGAGGTCATAATTTTTATCCGATTTAAAAAAACGTTCAATTATATCACCGTTACACCCTAAGGATGGCTGAGTTCGATTTTCGTGAAAATCGGCCCAAAATTGACAGACAAAATGGCCGCCGTTCGTTCTCAAATAGCGTAAAAGGGTATATCAAGGTTGTGGACACTATAGAGGTCACAATTTTTTTCCGATTTTGTTGAAACTTGCAATGTAAGTTTATAACCCAAAGATCTTAGTTCCTTTCGATATTCGCGCATATCGGACCGTAACTTCCTGAATTATGGCCCCTGATTGTACGAAAAATCGCGTTTTTAGCTTGTGGACCCTATAGAGGTCATAATTTTTATCCGATTTAAAAAAACGTATTATTATATCACCGTTACACCCTAAGCACGGCTGAGTTCGAATTTCGTGAAAATCAGCCCAAAATTGACAGACAAAATGGCCGCCGTTCGTTCTCAAATAGCGTAAAAATATGGTATATCAAGGTTGTGGACACTATAGAGGTCACCATTTTTATCCGATTTTGTTGAAACTTGAAATGTAAGTTTATAACCCAAAGATCTCGGTTCCTTTCGATATTCACGCATATCGAATTGTAATTTCCTGAATTATGGCCCTTGATTGTAGGAAAAATCACTTTCTTGTTAGCTTGTTCTCTATCCATCTGTCAAAAATGTGGGCGTATCCTGCCTGGCAGCCGCTGGTTGAATTGCAAAATACCTACCAAATTTGCTTTTAACCTATCAAGTTTTCAAACCTTGGCACCGCTCTTGGGGAAGTGGCCAATTGCAAGTGGCCCAGTTAAAGAAAGCTGTACGAGTTCCACCATATTCAACATATAACAACAGGATTATGTTGAAATTTTCACCCTTTAAGCCTAATGCCAACGAGGCAGTTTTTTTTTTTTTGCTCGAAAAGAGCAAGCGCAAAATTGAACATATTTCCACAAACAAAAAATAGTCGCCAAAGGACACACCTTCGGAAAAGATCAAACTAGCTGCTCTGCTCGTAATATTCGTCTACAAAAGAAAATGTTATTAATATAATTATAGTAGGGTGAATTTGGACTCAATAGTCAATGTTTAATACGTAAATTATATTTTAATGGATCTTAATCCACCTTAATTACCCCCCATTTATATCTACTTCGTATTGTCTTATATATTTAATTAATCACCTGTCTCCAGTATTCTTTGTTTTAAACCTTAAATTGAGCTTATAAATTATAATTAACGTTTAGTTACCAGGGTATATTGTTTGTATAGACGATAGATTTATAGGATTAATGCCCTAGGCGATGCATGGGGATATATAGACCCAAATGACAGAATTTGGGGAAGCTTGCTAAACACGTGTCTTGGGAGATCAGCTTGGATCGCATTCCTAAAGAGTTAAAGACAAACCTTATTTACCTGTATTTGGATATTTGGAGACCTAAGTTTATGTCAATTCCCATATCTACATTGGAGCTTATTTACTATTAAGCAGTGAACCAATATTTGTTACAATAATTGTCTGCTGTAAATTTTGTTGATTGATTGTTAACCAAAAAATATAGAGGAATATTAACAGCCAACAACAGACGTGTCGTCTTTTAATCAACAACGAAGATTCCAGAAAGTACCTGGCATCTCCACCATTTGTACAAGTGCGATTCTTGTGTACTTTCTGGAATCTTCGTTGTTGATTAATGACACAGAATGACACTTTCTTTCTACAGATGCAAAACTGCTTGACGTAAAGTTCCCGGAACAGTTTCACAAACGTTCGTAATTGAGAAAAAATCTTATCTGAAAAGAACGAATTAATTTTGCCGGTTTCACAGTAACCGACTTTTTACACTATTCGAATAGGCATAAAGCGATATCACTATCTGCATGCGGTACATATTCCACCAAAAACATTCCACAATAAACAGTATGATCCTTTCGATGAATTGGAGAATATCAAGGGAAAATTATTTTAGGGGGTAATTTTAAAGGGTGTTTATTTTTCTGATTCTGATGATGATTGTAGCATAAATAGGCCATATCCACATTTTGTTAACGACATATACCTGATAATGAATTTTTAAAAGCTAGGAACAACCAAGACCTAAAAATTAATACCTGGGATAGAGAGGTTATTCAAACTTGTAATAACATTAAATGGTCTATCAATAAATATAGAATCGTCCCTGGGTGTGAAACAATTAGGATGTGTCTTCAATATCTATCTTAATGACCAGCAAACTTATTTAAATACATTTAATTTCAATTTGGACAGCCCAGGTCTTGACTCGCATGAAATATCTCATATCCTTTTTGCAGATGATCTTGTTCTGTTATCAACATCATCTGCTTATCTTTAAAATTGTCTTCTGCACTGATTGGAAACTTAATATTAATCATTCAAAAACGAAAGTAATGCTTTTTTTATAACTATAAGATAAACCTGAAACACAAATTCCAAGTAAAATTATATTGAACAACCAACTGATTCAATCTACTGATGCATATCTATACTTGGGGAGTCTATATAATGAATAACGCATCATTCAACAGTGCTATAAATGAATTAAGTAAAAAGGCTATAAAGAGGGCATGGTTTGGTATGCGCCAGAAAGTGTGCACCAATGATCACCTGCTAACCGAAGTACTTATAAGATTATATGAAGCAATAGTGAAGCAGATAGCTCTGTATGCCTGTGATGTATGGGGATCGCAAATTGTACATAGGCCTGCAGCCAAAATTTCTAGCTTGCTTAGAAACACAATTCCGCTACATGGTCCTCCCAACTAAACAAACTATACATTTTCGGAAAGCTTATAACACCAGGAACACAAATCCAGAGAGTTCCAAGCAAAATGTCTGCACTAACTCGATTTAGGGCCAGATGAATTGTCAAGTAAATGCTGTATTAATACTAATAATTGTGAAGTTGACATAAAATTAAATATTGGCGAAAACACCCGATGCCTTCATCCTAGGCAAAGAATATGTTATTGGTTAAATTTTGATTTAAACGAAAATGCAGAAAACATAATGGACAAGGGAACATGCAGAATTTTGGACATCCATTAACGGTAATAGAGAGTTATCTCCCTTTCTGTCAAATGTCTGCAATTGGTAACAGTATTTCAGGTGCATTTTGACTGCTGATGCTGTATGACGCACAAGACCATGTGTGAGCACACAAGCCCAATGTTTATATCGTTAATGGGGTCACAGGGTTGGTGAGCGGGTGTTTACCCAGAAATTATGGGCAGAGCGCCTAGTCTGATGAGCAAGGTGATAAGTTTGACATAATTGAACAATATGTCTATGAAGTGATGGAGATCAGACTAGGTTTGTAGTTTTGTAAATCGCATTAAAAAGTGATTTTTTCCACTAAAACACAAACCCACACCAACATACCCTTTCAATTAGACCCTACGTTATTTTTACTACAGGTAGCTGCAAACCTCTAGTTCAGATATTCAAGGCCGAATTATAAACATTTAAACTGAAACCGTATCTATAATTGTGTAATTTGCTAACAAATTATTTATTGAAGTAAATCAATTATTGAAAATCAAAATTACGCAGTTACCCTGCACTTTAAATGTCATCAAAGTAAGTCGTTATCATCATCACTGTCCCTACATGTATAAACATCAAGTTCGATTTCTTTAACAGTCTTTTTGTTTCATTTTCACATTTACTACACTTACACAGATTAGATATATGTACATGTACAAGAAAAACCCCGGTGCAGTATCCCCATGTCTATGGTACGGGATGGGAGTGGGCTGGAAGGACAATGCCCAGTCGTTCGGGTGGGAGGAAAACAATAGTTTAAACAATATTTGATTCAACAAACTGAATCGGATTGAACAACAGGTAAGGGGCTACATGGGTGTAGGGGGCTAATCTCAGTTGGGGGTGGGGGCTGAACCTATTTGCCTGAAAAATTTGTCACCCTAATTTTCTGAATGAATCCATCATTAACTAAAATGAATTTTCCACAAAGCTGTGATGGTTGTTTATTTTGAAGTAATTACACAAATATACAATTATATTTCCATGAGATATGGTTGCATTCTCCATTCTCCGAAGCTTGTGCCCGAAAAACTGAAATACATTGCCCAAAAAATGGACAGTTCAACAAATCTGGGAGGTCGGGCGGGCATATAAGCTCTCCTAAAACAGTATTTCTACTAATATATATGTAAACTTTTAGTTCAGATTAGATTTGGGACTAAATTCCCAACAAATATTTGAATTGAAATAAAGCATCTATATGTAATTTTCTCACTGAAATAGATATATGTCAAAACCCAAATAATACTACTGTAAGGGAGTGGCAATTGTAATGAAGAGAAAATAAAAAGTCATACTGACGATGTACATACGCCCGCCATACATTACAGTCTACTCTTTATTTCGAATTTAAAGTTGACGTGCACGGGACCTCAGTTTTATATTCCATCCGAATAACTGGACGCTGCCCACTACAACCCCCCCGCTTCCTGCACCACTGACAAGGGGAAACTGCTGGAAAGTTTTGGGAACTGTCTAGGTCAACACAGGGATCAACCCTGGACCTCCTGATTAGTGAGCCACTTAAAAGGGGAAACAACGCCGGACTAGGATCAAACCCTGGGCCGCCCAGTAAGTGAGCCAGCCCTTTACTGAGTCACCGCTTCCCTTGCACACCGACGATGACACTTGCATACTAGTTGTACACGTACAATGCCCCCCCCCCCCCTCAAACAATAATGTATGACGTACGCCCATCTTCATTATACGGGTTGGTACAGAACAGTAAGACATTAAACTCCATTTGATATTTTTTCTCTTCATTACAATATTGTCAGTATTGTTTAGTTTTGGCCATATCTATTTTATTGAGAAAACTAAATATCTGTAGATGCTATGTTTTAGGTTAAATATTTGTTAGACCGCTTCAAATTCTATCTGAAAAAAAGGTTGAACTTATATAAGCCCTTGTTTATAGTTAAATCCTGTTACTGTTATCAATAATTATTGATATTTTCCATAAAGGGAGATAACTCCTTTTACCATAAATGGATTTCCGAAATTCAGTATGTTTCCTTGTCTGTTATGTTTTCTGCATTTTACTTTAAATCAAAATTTAACCAACAGCATATTCTTTGTATAGGATGAAGGCATCGGGTATTTTCGCCAATATTTAATTTAATGTCAACTTCACAATTATTAGAATAGATATAGCATTTACTTGACAATTATCACAATTTTCATCTGGCCCTAAATCGAGTTAGTGCAGACATTTTGCTTGGAACTCTCTGGATTTGTGTTCCTGGTGTTATAAGCTTTCCAAAAATGTATATTGTGTTTTTTTGGGAGGACCATGTAGCGGAACTTCACACTAGAAATTTTGGCTGCAGGCCTAATAGCAGGAATGCGAATTTACACGGACGGAATTATGTGGAGCATAACAAAATAACAATAAAAACTTGCAAATCCATTTTACTCCAACCCCAAAAATATATAGGATCACTGGCCTAATTAGGTATCTTTCCAATTCAAATTGATATTTACCAACGAATGTTTTTATTCTATGAAAGATAAAACACGTCTGAAATATAACGTACAAATCCGTAACTATCCACCGCATATGTAGAAGATGTATATATATGGGCAAATCTAATCCTCAATTATCATGGTCAGCAGCAATATCCCCCCTCATGCACCAGTTAAATTTATCTACCTGCAACGTCAAAATTTAACATACAAACAGTCCTAAAATCCCAATTCAATACTATTTATAAAACCGAATATATTTCTGGCAACTCAAAACCTAGAACTATATATGGCACTGTTAAATCTATTATAGATTCTCCAGCCAATTATTTCCTTCATGTACATAACAAAAACGTAAAGTCCGCTATGACCTCACGTTTGCGTTCCCATAAATTAGAAACAGAGAGAGGCCATGGAAACAGAGAATTCCACTTTTTAATTAAATGCCCACACTATCAATCTCTCAGGCTAAACCTTCTTTCTGCTACTTTTAGTGCTAACAATCTGACCATAACGTTTGAAAATTTATTCATCCACCCCCCCCCCCCCCCTCAGTTTCTATGAGTCTCTGTCATTATGTATATAAGGCATTTCAACATCGACATCAAGCATAGCGCCTTACCATACTAACAAGGTAATACAAGGCGCCTGAGGCCTCACCACAGAGGTTATAATATTCCGTATTAAATCTTTTAAAGTCTAAAATAAGGCGAAATATGTGATAGTACTAGCCTCGTGAACTTTCTGGGCTGTCGACTTTCCTCGAAAAATGCCGCGATTTAATTGTTCGAGTATAAATGTGCCATATCATTATCATCTAAATTAGTGCCGCCCCATTCCAACTATACTGTGACGTGATCAATACAAGTAGAAAATTGTTGGTTAATACTGTGCCGGGTGGTCGGTCGCGTGAACAGTCGTATCCAAGGTAAACAATTTGGGCAGGCAAAAACTCGTCGCTAGGTTAGTAAAATATCAGCGTAATTTAATATATCTGAGCTAATTTTGTGTATTCTCAAGCGTATTATTATCCCGTACAAATACACATGGCAATAGTTTCATTTTACTATAAATTTAATTAAAGATTCAGTTCTCTTGTTGGAATAATAAATTCAAGTTCTGTCGGGGTTAATTTCACTGTAATAAAGACAATGATATAAAACTGTAAATACTTATTTATACAACAAATAATGGTTCATAATGTTTTATTTATTGTCCACCTACAAAAAATGTGCCTTCAAAACCCACGTGTAGGCTTACCTTTAATAAATTAGTACAGACATGCTAAAGAAAGTATAATACACCTTATAACCGTTTAATAATCGGACTTAAAGAAAAGGGGTGCGTGGAAATAAAATACATGTTATCATCGTATGAGACCACACACCCTTTAATACAGTTGATAGCAGCGCGCCCAGGTGATCGAGGGTATTTTGGTTTGAATAGGCCTAATAGACAAATTACACTGTTTACACACAGTTTTCTATTCTAATAATATGTGTTTTCGGTAAAGGGTGTGGTTTAACATATCCTTTCATAATGTCAGTATAACAACATTCCAGAAATTATGATTTATCCTCTGGTAGTAAGAGTAATCCGAAAAGAATCTCGGTTGTATAGTAGGGCGTACGTTGTCAGAGTAATATAATTTACAAACTTCAATCATTCGGTAGCCTACTATATTTCTTTAGAAGGGACAATAAGGCTATTATGTTGCTACCCTTGGGAATATTTTTAAGTTTTAGGTGGAGTTATTTGTATTAAATGATTTTGATATTTTCTTTACCGATTTATTCCCCCTTTAAGATGAATCATTCAGGAAACTCAGTCGACTAATAAATTAAACGTATTTTTAAACGTTTCAAGTAGGCTTTTGCTACCGACTATCTACCCCCCCCCCCCCCCATCCTTCACCCCCACCCCCCAACACACACACAAGACTTAATTGTCACCTTTTGTCAAGGTTGTAAGTAACAGGTTCTGAGCTTGATCTAACCGGTGGTGAATACAATCATGGAGTTGGCCCTGTGTAGGCCTATAACCAACCCTCCGTGATCGCCGCTGTTAAGTAAGTAAGTAAGTAAATAAGTAAATTTATTGTATAAAAACGCCCACGAGGAGCAGCATAGGCCTACAATTACAAAAATTACATCAATACAATACAACAAATATACATGTAACAAATAAACGAACATTAATACAATAGAAGATAGTGCTAGTTTGAAGAACGAAAATATTCTAGGATAACTCGTATATATTCATATTGGTATTTGATTATATAGATCAACAAGCAACACAATGCACGCTGTATAACAAAAGACCAGCGTGATTTTTCTAGAATAAAATAGACACGACATTTGAAAAGAATGTAAGAAGAGTACCGGTTACCAGGACATCACGTGACATGAGATTAACCACAAACAAACTGGTTACGTTGGCGCGCACAACATAATTTAAACCCATAGCAACGACACCAAAACAAAAACGGGTATAAATTCAAGATGTGCGCCAATCGTATTCATACCCGAGTGGGCACTCATATTGACTACAACAGTCTAACTGAGCGTAAATCACGGGGTTTTGACATTTTCCTAAAAACCAGTAGCCGTTTTTAACTTCTTTCTAATTTAACAATATGGTAAGTTTTAATATATCTAACAAAATATGGTAGATTTATTAATAAGAGTTTTGAAGGGTTTTTAATTTTATTTTCAACCTGTTTTTATCTCATTGAGATTTGAAATGGTTTAAATGGGTCATCATACTCACGGCTATTTGAATAGAATTAGGCTCTACCGGAGTCTACCGCAGTCTAACATTTCTATGCAATGTTTGTCTAAATCTGCATAGAAATGACTGCATCGATCTCTATAACCCTTCAATAAATAACTTGCCCTTGTTAAGGTTATGTAATTATGGTAGGTTTACTGGCTGTTGTGGATCAATAAGAAATATATTACGGTAGGCCTACCGGTATTGGTTTCGTAGAAGATAATCGATTTTCATAAGTTAAATTGGATGGAAGTTCAGTCTTCTAAAAAGGGAGGCATTATTGCCCTTTCGCACTTCTTCCAGTTCCCGTGGTCGTAAAGACTTGATATTTTCAGGGGAATCGTTCAATAACGTTTCATTTTACCACCTTTTAGGTTCTCCCGAGAAATAAGTTTATCCGTTCGACACCATCCTTGTTAACTAGGCTATTTAGACTCGTATAACAAGATACCTCCTGTCTAACACTGCAGTTCATGATAATAATAACAATGCTTGTATAATTTCATTTTTGCGCTAAGCCACCATTTTCTATAAACGACTATTTGGCGTTGACCAGTTGGATTGGCCTTTACGTGTGAATGTCGCTGTGAATTTGACGCTGACACTGACTTCAAATTTTCCGTTGACCTCGGGACTTTTGCGTCTATATTATGTACTACTCCCCTATTTCTTGCTGTAGTATCGAGATTAAATTCCGGGGTAAAAGCAGAGAATTCGAACTTTTAAAAGTCAGTTTTTGGACATTTGACCTTGACTTACGACCTTCACTCCGTAACCATTTTAAATGGCCATCGCCGACCTTTACCGGCATTAAATGATCGCCAACTCGACACAAACTATATAGGGAAGGAAACTGGAGGACCCGGAGAATATCCACGAGGCTGGACAGGCGACTCTACTCCTTGTCACGTACAACTGGGGAATCGATACCACGCCATTTGACCCTCTTTACCGAAATACAGTTTGAAGCATTGCATGGAGTTATACACTGACCCGATCCGGAGAGAATATGACCCTATCGATTTTCAGGATTCTAGGACTTTCCATTCCAGATATACCTGGACGGATTTCTGTAAGGCGTCAGATCCAAGTTTTCTTTCCCCGATAATCAGCTGTCTATTGGTATCTTTCTTTTTCAAAACATAGCTGCTGTGCGGGCGTATATCTACGCTTCTTTACGCTGCTATCTTATTTATTGGCAGAATTTGTGAATTATTTTGTATGTAATTTGTAATATTGTATCCTTTTAGCGTGAGTGTATCTCTATCCATGTCGGCCAAGCCGGGGTCCAGATGGGCAATGCCTGTTGGGAATTGTACTGTTTGGAACATGGTATCCAACCTGATGGTCAGATGCCATCTGATAAAACTATTGGAGGAGGAGACGATTCATTTAATACATTCTTTAGTGAGACTGGAGCTGGAAAACACGTACCAAGAGCCGTCTTTGTTGACTTGGAACCAACCGTCGTAGGTAAGTATAAGATGGATATTAAGAATAATGATCAGATAATAAATCATTCCATAACTTTATATATCTGGGCCACTCTGTTCGTTCTTTTTAGGTTTGTCGTCGGATTTTTAAGGCTTCCCGCAATATTCCATACTTGAATATTTTTAGTCAGAACTTTGGAATTATCCCATTCTATGTTGTGGGTAGGATTTTCAATGATATTTCGTCTACTGCTGATTTGTTGGCTTCTATGCGTGGCGTGAAGTTGCTGCAGCTTTGTTCTATCTTCAATTTAGTTAATCTTTTTCATCAATTTTATCATTGGTGCAAATATTATGAGCTCTTAGGGTTAGTATTGAAACAATTATCGCCCTGGTTGTTGTTGGGTGGGCCGATGCGAAGTTTATGCATTGGTTTGCGTGCGTAGGTTTCCTACACACACACACACCCACACACACACTTGTCGCTAATTCATCACCGTTTCTATCAATTAGAATGTCCAAAAAAAAAAAGGTAGCTGTTTGTTCATTTTTCTTCTTCAACTGTAAATTGTATTCCGGGGTGTATTAAATTGAGGTGTTTGAATAGTAGTTGGCGATCCTCTTCCTTTATCACAACAAACGTATCGCCCACTTTTCGAAGCCAAACAGAAAGTTGGATGGGGGATGTTGTCGGGGGATTTTCCCCGAGGGTGTCATGCAAATTTCTGTGATGACCGGACTTATTGCTGAACCCATGAATTTTTCCATGTTAAATATGTTGATTTTATACAGAATTCTAAAACTTCATCCTACTATCCATACTGATGCAGGTGTTGAGGTTGGTTGTTTGATTTTCAATTTTGGCTCGTAAACAATTCATGGCTAAATCAATTGGTATACTGGTAAATAGGTCCACTTCATCATAACTTATCAGTTTTCCTAGTTGAGGTTGTAATTTATTTTAACTCGTAGTTCTGGACGGGTTGTCAACATTTGAGAATAATAGGTCATTGATAAGATTATCCGATCTTTTACATTATCATGAACAAGTGTAAGGGAGGTAACTAGCTCTAAAACAAGATGGTGACAGACCATTAATTGTAGTGACTGGATAATCAACCACATAAAAAAAGAGAACAAAATACCGGTTACGCATAAATCTCATCCCCCGTACGATGATGACTTGGAGGTTCTGGGTGAACGAGACTGCGATCATAACTGATTAGAAATTACAGTAAAACAGAAACATTTGAATGTAAATCAGTTTATATGCATCCATATTACATTATTATATGCGCTGCGAACCATTTGTGTCCATTTCTAGGTGCCAACGAATAAAGATTTAGCTCCTTTAAGTACTTTTAAGGTGACTTTAGTATTTATATATCAATCATGTTATTTTATATAGTGTAAATCAGTGGACTATAACACAGCTGGGGGATATATTGTGGTATTTGTATAGCATATAAAAAATAATATTGACAAATAATATCAATCAACAAACTACACCAGATGTTGGAATGTTTGAAAACAACCCTGCTTTGTAACTGGTCTACAATCATGCACCATTCAATGATTTTTATTTTTATTTTATATTTTATCTTTCTAGATGAGGTGCGAACTGGTACATACCGACAACTTTTCCACCCAGAACAACTCATCACCGGTAAGGAAGATGCCGCCAATAACTATGCCAGGGGTCATTACACCATAGGCAAAGAAATCGTTGATTTGGTTTTAGACCGAATCCGAAAATTAGCTGATCAATGTACTGGTCTTCAAGGTTTCCTCATCTTTCACTCCTTTGGCGGCGGAACCGGTTCCGGATTCTCGTCCCTACTTATGGAACGTCTTAGTGTCGATTATGGTAAAAAATCCAAACTGGAATTCGCAATCTACCCAGCTCCCCAGGTCTCCACGGCCGTTGTCGAACCCTACAACTCTATCTTGACCACCCATACCACCCTAGAACATTCCGACTGTGCTTTCATGGTGGATAATGAAGCTATCTACGATATCTGCCGACGAAACTTGGACATTGAACGACCAACTTACACGAACTTGAACAGATTGATCGGTCAGATCGTCAGTTCTATTACTGCTTCCCTCCGGTTTGATGGTGCACTAAACGTCGACTTAACTGAGTTCCAAACTAACTTGGTACCATACCCACGTATCCATTTCCCTCTAGCTACTTACGCACCAGTCATCTCGGCCGAAAAAGCCTATCATGAACAATTATCTGTCTCAGAAATCACCAACGCTTGCTTCGAGCCCGCCAACCAGATGGTAAAATGTGATCCCCGTCATGGTAAATACATGGCTTGCTGTATGTTATACAGAGGAGACGTTGTGCCTAAGGATGTCAACGCCGCCATTGCCACAATCAAGACCAAGAGAACCATCCAATTTGTCGACTGGTGTCCCACTGGTTTCAAAGTTGGTATCAACTACCAACCACCAACCGTTGTGCCAGGAGGTGATTTGGCCAAGGTGCAAAGAGCCGTTTGCATGTTGAGCAACACTACCGCCATTGCCGAAGCCTGGGCCCGTCTCGATCATAAATTCGATCTTATGTACGCAAAGAGAGCTTTCGTCCACTGGTATGTTGGTGAAGGCATGGAAGAAGGCGAATTCTCTGAAGCTCGAGAAGATTTGGCAGCTCTCGAGAAAGACTATGAAGAAGTTGGTGTCGATTCGGTCGAGGGAGAAGGAGAAGAGGAAGGCGAGGAATATTAAATCGCTTCTTAATTTTCGAATTTGCGGAAAACCGAAAATAAATTATTGAATCAAAAATATTTTCTAATTTTTAACCCTACATTTCGAGTTTGAGTATATTGTGGTCTGTCCGTTAAGATTCTTACAAGCACTCTATTATAGGTAGCCAGATTCAGCTAGTCATAAGGAAGAACCCTGTCGATAATCATTCAAACTTGGCAAAATAACTGTAAGCGCCCTAATTGTTGGAGTTCGAATTATTTAATTACACCTAATGCTAGGTTCCACTGTCGTGCGATGCGTTACGATAGGATTGTCTCTATTGAGTCCACGATCTGGTACGTGCAGATACGTTTCGATGCGATCAACACGATCTTTACGACTGACCACAATATAGTATTAGATCTCATAGGATCACCACGATTACTCCACGATTTCAATCGAAGCGCGAATCGTGATAGTGGGAACCTGGCATTCGGAGGAGCCCTACTCAGATTCACAGTAGTGTAATGATTTTTTGAACCAGCAACTGGTTGAATCCTTGGTATAGTCTTGTTTTAGGGGCACTACTCTTCAATCGACTTTCCTTTGCAAGGCCATGGAGTTAGGATTCTATTTCCGCGGCTTTTAGAGTTTTTATGACGTCACAACTCCAAGGTTGTTGCGATGACGATAGTCTCAGTTTCTGGTTCATACTGTACTGCTTTTGTAAATTGTAGATATATTTTTCCAAACATGGTGCGATTGTGCAACTATTCCTACCGAGGAGACCTATGGAAATTCAAAAGGGGGTGGGGGGCTTTTGATATTCGGAATCGCGTAACGATTGTTCGAATTTGCGATGTTCCTCAAAACTTAATGGGATTGATTGAAATGGGCTAATGAATGCGAGCATAAGCCATATGGTGTGGTATGAGGTTAATTTTGTCCAGACAGCGCACTACGTATTCCACTTATTTCGGTTAGCAAGTCAGCGCCTCACTCACTGAGCCACAGTCGCAATTCTATTCACTATTGCCAATGACACTTAACCTCGTAAAGGCCAGACTGTTCATGTGTAATCAGCAGTCCGCGACATTCCGTTCCCTACCCCTGAGTATGCAACGTGTACAGGATAAAAATCTTAAATATATTTTTATCACAATGAACAAACCCTGTCGGTGTTTCTGAATTGCTTCTTTCATTTAATATGCATTTATTTTTACAGAAAACCTGTCAATAAACCAGTTACACTACCATTATTGATAAAAAGATCAATTTATTACTTAATTTCTTGAACATATAAGCCTATATCACGTGAACAAATAACAAGTCAACAATGGAATATAAACGATTTTCAGCCAGGTTATAAACACAATCATATCGATCATAAGAATAGGGTTGGATTGTTAAAAACATCTGGAGAAACATAATCTATAGACTCAGACATATTACCCGAAAACCAGCCAAAAGAACCAAACTATTTAATATATTAAAGATACATTATGGGAGATTAGATAAAGAACTGGCAGTTCTCACTATAATAATTTTAAAAAACTAGATAATATAAAGGCAATTTGATAAAAATTTCAGTCAAATTGATCCACTCTGAAACGAGGTTTCAGCGATTGAATTTTCGGCCCAGCCTCGATCATCATTACTAAAAAACATAGTCTCGATTATCAATTTCATGATTAAATCATGAATGGAAGTCGAACAGCAAATCAAAACCTTATGTAATAAACACCGCAGGTTAGCGATGACATCTAGAGTTGATTATGGCCTGGATAAATTAATTAATGTATAATTAATAATTTAGATAACATTTCTGGCCTAAAGAAAGACCTGCAATAGGCAGATTAAGCTCTTGCGTAATGTATGTTTAATAAAATAAAATCGACGCATAAAATACATGTATCTATATACCAGGAATGGAAATTCGTCCCACCACCAATCAAATTATAATTCCACAGGTGGATTAATGACAAACGCCCAACCTTTCCGGAGCTTGACAAATAAAATGCCCAGAGGTAAACATGTACATAGTCAATTTGAATTTACACTGTCTTCTATTACCCCCCACCATTATATGCCTGGGGCCTGTATCACGAAATTTTAATTAAGATAAAATCCAAATTTTACAAATTTGATTGGATAATATTAGATTGATTTTAGTGCTTAACCAATCAAAATTGAAGTATCTACTAAAATTGGGATTTTATCTTTAGTTAAGATTTCGAGAAACGGGGCCCTGATATTATAAACCTTTTTCGCATTGCCATGGACAACTCTGTTTTTTTATGTGCGATATTATATATTTGGTACAATAGTAGGCTTAATTAGATTATGATCATCTTTTAAAGTAAAAAAATTGTACATTTTGTTTCTGTTTTTGAGATATTTCTGTATTAGGTCTTTTCCCATAAGTTCTTATTACGCAAGTCTTTGATGTGTGGATACTGCAAATAGCGCGTCTTATTGAAACCTGTAACATCAGCTTGCAATGTTCTATTACGTAGATATTCTTCCATACAGTCTATAACCACTTGATCATAATTCCCATCCATTTTATTGACGATCATCTCGGGTTGTTTCACCAGCCACGGCAGTGCCTTATTGTTAAATACACAAACAGCCCTACGAATCTTCCCAGGACACTTGACAGGCTTGTCCCAGCTCCATAATACTGTGCGTGATAGGAAATCTCTGTTGAAATGTTTAATGGTAATATTATAACCACCCGGCGCACCATCAACCGTGTTTAGCGTATTGAAAAATGCCTCTTCAGGGGCGTATGTATCTTTTAAAAACTCGAACAAATCATTTGCTTTGCCGTTCTTGAAAACAAACTGAACAAATTTTCTAGCAAAAGTTCCATAAGCACACCCTTTCCTTAGTAGAAAATTTCCTGTAAATGGCTTTTTTAGAACATTTGTTTTTATCATTTGGAATTCAGTGACATTAAATTCCCACTTTATTCGGTTTATGGTGAAAGGGGTTGCTGGTTCCGATTCAATATCATTTCTTCCTTGTAGCAACTGGCAAATTTGAACTATTTCAAGATTAGTTTTAAGCGGCACTTCTTCCCCTGCCATGTTGAGAAAATATTTCCATTGAATTGACGATTTCAATGCTTCTTTCATACACAATAAATCAGCTTCTACAAGTCTAATAGATGAATACAATGTTCGTATTTTTGATAAAACCACCACATTCTCAAAGCATCGGGCGACTGCTTTTAAAGAATTAAATATGTGAATATCACTGCCAGTATCAACATGTATACAATAAAAATTATGTGGACATTAAATAATTCTTAAAATTTGTTCTATTTGTTCCGGAGAATTATGTAGACGAATCCCAAAAGCTAAAGGAAAATCTTCTTCCAGTTTTGTAATAACTTTATCGTCATATCCGTTAATATGGCGAAATAATTGACAATTTTCTGTAATTTTAGTTAAATTACAAATCCTGCTTTCATTAACGGGTATAATTTGTGTCATCATGGTTTCATTCTTAATACGCTTTTTACAATTTATCTTGTTTTCTCTAACTACTGAATGCTGACATGATCCATAGTTACTTGGATAGTAGGCATCTATTACGTCATATGGGATGTCATTATCCAAAACAGAATTGTTTTTTGTCACACGTAAAGGATTTCCCCATAATTCCGGCAACACTTTATAATAAAACACAACCACATATACAGACACCAGTATTAACAAAATTCTAAATATTTTATTCTTGAACATTGCGTCCTAAAAAAATAAAGAATTAAATAAAAAGAGAACGCATGGTAAATTAAATAATTAAAGCCGTTAACATTAGATAATTAAGATTTCGTCGCTAAATTAATTATGATGATATATGCTAGTATGAGAATATCTCTTATATCAGTTATAGCGCGCTCAATCTGACTAAAATACAGATCTTTATTTTATGATCAGTAGTGGAATACCGCGTTTTATCAGTGAAATAAAAGTGTTATTCCACTGGCTAGTTGTTTTTACCTAAACTGATTGTAAAATCATAAAATAAATACAACATTTGTCGTTTTGTTGTGAATAACATATTTTATTTCATCTCTAAGCAAGAAAAAGTTTATATTTTCACTCATGCTACGCATTCGTGAAAATATAAGTTTTCTTGCTTCTCGATGAAATAAAATATGTTATTCACTCTAAAACGACAAATATCCTCTATATATTTCGTTTTTTTTATACTTTAGACAGCCTCTACTAATTGAAGATCTGACAAGTTGTAGTGGGAGGTCGCGCCACGGGTCATACGAACAACTTTTGACCCTATGACGTCAAACATTTAATTAACCAATCAGCGTTGATGTTTCTAGTAGGATACCCGCAGTTTCGTGCATCGCACGCCAAGAACTCACTGAACCAGACCGTTTCATTAGCTCATCCTCCCACATCAACCAGAACGCGGGTTTTATAACCACTCGTCAAGATCCTAGTTTAGTAAAGACAAGTAAAATGAAATTTTGAACTATAAAAACGAAACGAAACAGGATCTGTGTTTTAATCAGATTGTAGCGCGCTAGCTGAAACTAAATTAGATATGGTAGATATGTATAGAAGTAAGTAATTATCGTATCCAAGCAGTTTTTCCTTTGACTTCTATTTCATTATCCTGGTCTATGCAAGATTTAAATTATTAAGATTTCGCATATTAGAATTGAATAAATAAGATATTGTCGGCAAGAATTAAATAATTAAGATATTGTCGGCAAGAATTAAATAATAAAGATCTCGTGTATTAGAATAAAAAAAATTAATTTAGGCAAGATTTAAATAAGATACTATGCTGATCGAACACATGCTCTTAAAAATATGTCCAAATTAAGGACAAAAATAGTCTGTATAGAAAAAGAGTAATACTTACTGGCCTGTTAATTTCCCACTATATAAGGTGCTAAAGAATTTCGCAACAGATGTCCAAATTATTGGTTTATTCGATTAAATATGGACGAATTGTTTGGTATTATATATGTTACTAACAAAATATATATCGAGGGTTAAAGTTTCGTAGAGAGAGAGAGAGTAATTTGTACCTCCAGATTGTGTGTTTGAACTTCTAAAAGAACAAGAATCTGAATCGGGTTCTTTATAAAGAGTAAGCATATCCTGCACTGTACATGACAATAGCTTCCTTAAGTTTGGATATCGTCCTGTAATATGACTGTTATCTTAATTCTAATAACTAACGCAAGCGCGTATAAAATATCACCTAATAACAGATATTTGGAAACAATATATACATGTATCGTTTGTTCTCAAAATTATTCTTGGTAGTATTCAAGTAATTTAGAAATACAACAACACAACACACATCTAAATATTTCATTCTATAACACAGTTCCCTAAAATTAACCAATAAAATAATAAAAGAGATCGCATTGAAATTGAATAATTGCATAATTACTATAATGTATTCTAGTATATATTACACCATCGCGTGTTGAATTCATTCCACATGCTATGTACATATAAAATGTTTAACGCGCCAGTTGAAACTAAATTAGGTATGGTTTTAATCAAAGACTCAAGAATTCGGCACTTATCCATTATAAGTATTTCGCATGCAACCGCAAGGGAATTAATGTGCCATTTTCCTATGAATATCGTATATTAGTTTTAGATCATTAGGATCTCGCATGTTAGAATTAAATAATTGAGACCTCCCATATTAGAAATAAAAAATTAAGATCTCGTATTAGAACTCAATAATTAAGATCTCGTTAGAACTCAATAATTAAGATCACGTATATTAGAATTAGATCATTACCGTGCAGATTGTAAACACCCTCTTAATTGTTATGTTCACGTTAGGATAAATGAATAGAATAAAATATGTTATATCAGTAATACTTCCAGTTAGGATAAAAGTCAGGCGTGATATGCAAGTACCCTGTTTAATGTTAAACTACTGCCGTGGTTCTCAACCTTTTTTTTGCGAACAGCACACCTTAGAACACACGAAAACATAGCGGCACACCTGGCTAAATATATATGAAAAGTATTTGAATTTTGCAAAATTAAAACATGGCAAGTCATAGACGGCATACAACCATAGACAAAGACTAGTCATAGACACATAGAATGTCTCAAACTAAATAAAGAAAAAAACAGCTATGAACTTACTTTATTGAAGTGTTTCGAATTTCATCAGTCAAACAGCTGGCTTCTTTAGTGATAAATTTTCTAAGTGTGCCGCTCAAAATTTGAAGAATAAAAAGTTTTTAAAAATACATTCGTGATCTCTATCGTTACTTTGGGATTAACTGCACGTGGTTCAATTTCAATTTTAATTCAATACTTCGCTTGTGCGTAGGGTATTTAGCAGTGGGGGGGGGGGGGGGCAGGTGGACCCCGAGAGAACCCACGAGGTTGGACCAGCTACCCTGCTCCTTGTCACGTAGAAGGCGTCAATTGAAACAACGCCACTTGACTCAATGACAGACCTCGTGTTCACAAGGTTTTCGTAATGAGGACCATGTAAGAGGTGGAGACTCCATGAAGCAGCCCAGTCTTCAATAGCCCAGTCAAAGCAGAACAGTAGGACGTTAAACCCTATTTCATTTCATTTCATAAGAGTATGAACCCTATCGATTTTTCAGTGTTCTGTGACTTGCAGTTCCAGCGAAATGCGGGTTGGGTGGTCTAGTGGTGCGCGTGAAACCATGCGGTCTGTAATTGAGTCAAGTGGTGTTGTTTCGATTGACCGCTTGTACGTGACATGGAGTGTGGTTGCCTGTCCAACATCGTAGGTCTACACCGCATCCACCTGTTTCCCCCACTGTTAAATACCCCCAGCCCCCTATCCAACCAAACGCGAAGTATTAAAATAAAACTGAACCAAGTGTTAGTCTCGAAATGACCTAGTTTGTTTCGCAGTTCTAGGGTTACCGCCCGCATATCGGTAAAGATAGACACCACGATTGTTTTTTTCAACATGCTATATTTTCAAATTGGGTGTTTGGAGCATTGAGGTGTACACGGGACATCGGTTGTTGGTCCAATCCGAACTTGACAGCACTCTTTGTCAGGCCCTCTGTCCTGCATCACTGACAAAAACCAGATAAACTTTCTTGACAGCTCTTCTTGTCTGGCCCTCCGCCCTGCATCACTGACAAAAACCAGATGAACTTTCTCGGCCAGCCACGGGAGCGAACCCGCGACCTCCAAGCTAGCGAGGTAGCGTCTTAGTCTTACCCACATGAGCTTGTGAACCCAATGGTTAATACCCTAAAACATATGTTAAAAACTATTGCTTCTATCGGGTTCACAATGTTTTCCTAATGGGGATAATGTTGAGGGATTGGGTCTCTGGATCAGAAGGAAACGACCGTGTTCATTCTCTCATTAACTCCAATGCTTCACACCAATATATGAAGTAAAGAACTGATTTAATGTGTATCCTCATTCGTGTTCATAAGGTTTTCAGAATAACGTTAGGAGCAACCCGGGAACCCGGTTCATCTCTTTATGTCACCAATGCTTCATAGAGTCCCCACCCCTCAATTGGTCCCCATTATGAAAAACTTGTGAACACGAGGTCTGTCACTGAATCAAGTGGAGTTGTTTCAATTGACGGCTTATACGTGACAAGGAGCAGGGTCGTTTGTCCAACCCCGTGGGTTCTCTCCGGGTCCACCTGTTTCTTCCCACTGCTAAATATCCCTACGCGCAAGCGAATTATTGAAATAAAAATTGAACCATGTGTTAATCCCAAAATAACCTAGCTTGTGTCGAAATTCCATTTTTTCCCCTTCAAATTCGGTGTTTGAAACATTGGGGTAATTAGTCGACGTGTTAAATCGTAAGCGGATTAATTCGATTAATCAAATTAATTAATTCGTTTAAACGAAATAATTAATTGGTTATAACGAAATAATTAATTGGTTATAACGAAATAATTAATTGGTTATAACGAAATAATTAATTGGCTATAACGAAATAATTAATTCGTTATAACGAAATAATTATTTCTTTAAAACGAATTAATATTTCGTTTTATCGAATTAATATTTCGTTTAATCGAATTAATTATTTCGTTATAACGAATTAATTATGTTATAACGAATTAATTATTTCGTTATAACGAATTAATTATTTCGTTATAACGAATTAATATTTCGTTTAATCGAATTAATTATTTCGTTATAACGAATTAATTATTTCGTTTAATCGAATTTATTATTTCGTTATAACGAATTAATTATTTCGTTATAACGAATTAATTATTTCGTTATAACGAATTAATTATTTCGTTATAACAAATTAATTATTTCGTAAATATTAATTCGTTAAAACGAAATAATTAATTCGTTATAACGAAATAATTAATTCGTTATATCGAAATAATTAATTCGTTATAACGAAAAAATTAATTCGTTTAAACGAAATAGCTAATTCGTTTAAACCAAATAACTAATTCGTTTAAACCAAATAACTAATTCGTTTAAACGAAATAACTAATTCATATTAACGAAATAACTAATTCATATTAACGAAATAATATTTCGTATTAACGAATTAATTATTGATCCGATTTTGATACAAATACATGTTTATTACCCAAACATGTCGGTTCCTTTCGATATTCGCGCATATCGGATCATAACTTCCTGAATTATGGCCCTTGATGGTACGAAAAATCGCGTTTTGGGCTTGGAGTCTCACTAGAGTTTCCATTTTTTTTTAATCTGATTTAAAAAAAGCGTTGAATATTTCACCGTTACAGCCTAATGAGGGTAGAGTATGACTTTCGTGAAAATTGGACCAAAACTGCCGGACAAAATGGCCGCCCTCTTACGCAGATAGTGTAAATATATGATATATCAAGGTTGTGGACACTCTAGAGGCCACAATTTTGATCTGAATTTGATGAAACTTTAAATTAATGTTTATTTCGCAACAATCTTGGTTTCTTGTGATAATCGCGCATATCTGAACACAACTTCCTGGATTATGGCTCCTGATTGTTCGAAAAATCACATTTTTAGCTTGTGGACCCGCTAGAAGTCACAATTTGTATTCAATTTAAAAAAAAACGTTTTAGTATATCACCGATACACCTCAATAAAGGTTGAGTTTGAATTTCGTACATATCTGACCCAAACTGCTGGAAAAAATGGCTGCTCCTTGTACGCAAATAGTGTAAAAGTATGTATTACTAAGGTTGTGGTCCCTCTAGAAGTCACAATTTTTATCCGATTTTGATGAAACTTAAAATATATCTTTATATCCTACATACCCCATTACCCGTCGATATTCGCGCATTTCAGACCATAACTTCCTAGATTATGGACCCTAAATATACGAAAAATCGCTCTTCTTTTTAGCTTGTTCTCTATCCATGTTGTTGGCGTATCGTGCCTGGCAACCGGTGGTTATTAATATATTAAATATTTTGATTCTTTTGACAGGTTTTCGGGCGAGTAATACGTCTGTGAATCTATAGATATTATGTTTCTCCAGATGTTCTCAACAATCTGTTACAGTATTGGGGCTTTAATCAGGTTCAGATGACAAGACTAGTTTAGCATCTTATAATACTTTTATTCTTCTTCTAACATATTATGTACAAAACTTAAGACTCTGTAATTAGCTTGTGTTGAGGGAGCCATGGCCCTAGCATGGCTAGGCACGAGTCTGCCAACTCCCAACTAACTTACATTACATGACCGTTGTCCGGTCTTAACTCCAGACCTGCGTGGCCTGGATTTAATTTCTAGACGCACTCGCCTACGACTGACGATGTCGTTTCCATTCTGGGTTTATAAACCTTTCCAGACAAAGGATCTTATTAGACATCTGGCTAATGTATCATGTATCATATCAGGTTTATCAGACAAAGAAAGTTAAATAAAACATGCCAACAAGTTAAGGTTACATAATGACATAAGGAATGCTACCAAGACCTCCAGGGGTGTCGATAGCGAACAGGTTGATATGCTGATATTAAAATCACTTTCACGTGTCAAGATGGTAGGAAGCGCCTATAACATCTGCCACTATGTAACAAATCCTACTCGTATGATCGATATGTGTTAATAACGTGGCTGAAAATTGTTTTATTTCATTGTTGTCTTGTTATTAATTTGGACGTGACATAGTCATGAATAAATAGACTTATGTTCAAAAAATGAACTAATAAATTGATCTATTAATCAATACTGATGATCTTATATTATGGTTGACTACGTCACGTCACCTGCAATTTTATGTGAATACTCTACCTAACTGGTTTCTTGACAGATTTCCTGTAAAAATTTGCATATTAAATATAAACAAATTTTTCAGAAAAACTGTCAGGGTTTGTTCATTGTGATACTGCTTACTTCATATTTGAACTTTTTAATTACAGTAAAGAATCTTTAGGATCAGGTGGTATAAGTAAATTTGAAATGCACAGAGCCGCAGAATTCTTGGATCATAATACCTTCGTCATTCTGGAGGAAGAAGATGACCCAGCAGTTCTTCTTGACCACGTCAACAACCAGCACCCGAAGATTAAGTTTACTATGGAGAAAAGGGTCATGAAATCGTTCCTCTTCCTAGATGGTCATGTCCATAGAGGTAATAATGCCATTAAAAAGAGTGTGTACCGTAAACCTACCCACACGAACCAATACATCAACTTTAACTCCACACATACAACCAGTGTTTCATCGAGAGTTGATTATGGCCTTGATAAGTTAATTAATGTCTAATTAATAATTTAGATAACATTCCTGGCCTAAAGAAAGACCTGCAATTGGCGGATTTGCGTAATGTATGTTTAATAAAATAAAATCGACGCATAAAATACATGTATCTATATACCAGGAATGGAAATTCGCCCCACCACCCACCAATGTAATTATAATTCCACAGGTGGATTAATGACAAACGCCCAACATTTCCGGAGCTTGGCAAATAAAATGCCCAGAGGTAAACATGTACATAGTCAATTTGAAGTTACATTGTCTTCTATTAATCCTCCCCTCCACCATTATATGCCTGGGGCCTGTATCACAAAATTTTAATTAAGATAAAAGGTTTATAATATCAGGGCCCTGTTTCTCGAAATCTTAACTAAAGATAAAATCCAAATTTTAGTAATTTGATTCGATAATATTAGTGCTTAGCCAATCAAAATTGAAGTATCTACTAAAATTTGGATTTTATCTTTAGTTAAGATTTCGAGAAACAGGGCCCTGATATTAT